TTTTGGTCTTTTTGACACAGGGTTTCACTATGCAGTTCAGGCTGGCCTTGAACTCACTTTGTAGCCCAGGCTGGCCTCAAATTGCAAAGACCCTCCTGCCTCAGCCTCCCCAGTGCTGCGATTATAGGCATGTGCCACCACGCCTGGTTCACCAAGGGTCTTAACTGAAATGCATATGAAAAGAGCCAAGTGACAAAACTTTGTTCAGGAAGTATAAAGATCGACAATATCAATCATAGCTGAATCTTAGTGTCCTCCCGCAGGAGTGATTTTTATTTGGTACATTCTCTCGACCTTGGTCCACACGAACAGTTTTTCTGTTACTGAAATGATGATGCAAACTGAACTTACACAAGCATTTTCACACATTTCTTCTATTCATTTTCTACAGCAATAGAAAACCACACTATAGCGCTGCCATTTCCTGATTATACATCCCATAGCTACTTCCAGGCATATTATCACACATGGCCTCTTCATTCTTTTTTATATCTGCATAATATTCCATTGTTTATATTCATCCTTGATTAATAAACCCCCTACTGATATTTGGTTTGAAATAAACTACTTTTATATTCTTTCTTTTTTCCTTTCAAAACAAGGTCTCGCTATGTAGTTCAGGTGGCCTTGAAGTTACTATGTAGTGCAGGCTGGCCTTGAACTTGCAATTCTCCTGCCTCAGCCTCCCAAGTACTAAGATTACAGGTGTGGGCCACCAAGCCCAGCTCCTTTATACTCTTTATAATAGACGATATATTCAAAGCACTATTAACTAATCCAACATATTGGGAAAGCAGTCTTACAGGTAGAAAAAGGCCTCAAGAATACCCTTCCAGAGGGCTGCATCTATACAGCTCGGCGGTAGAGCACCTGCCTAACATGGCAAGGCCCTGAGTTCCGTCCCCAGCACTAGGGAAAGAACCCTCTGCAAGGTTTAAAAGTCTAACGCACACGCAGCAGGGGCCAGGGTCCTCACTTTGTAAACACCCTCATCCTGTGCACGAGGAGGGGACAGAAACAGAGTGAGTGCTGCACCCGCCCCAGGATGGGGACCTGCTCACAGTACAAGGGAGGAAAAGAGGCTTGCTCCCCCTTTTTGCTCTTGGGCTTTTGCTGTCTTGTGCCGCCTTGAACTGCTGCCCCTCTGCCCTGCCACCCTGCCTTGGAGCCGGGTGAGCGTGGACTGAAACCTCCACAGACTGAGCTAAATAAACCTTTCCTTCCTTCATTCTGGGCCTCGGGTATTGTGTCTCTATTGTGTCTCTATAGTAACGAGGGAAAAGTAACCAAGACACCCTCCCACCGGGACTCCCCCACACACAACACAGACGATGGTGACAGCGGCAGGGCCGGGCCAACAGCACCCACTCTCGTCTCCACAAGTTGGAGGGGCGCGGGCTCCACTCACTCCCCTTAAACTGCGGCTGCTGGTGCCTAAACAAAGCCAGGAGACTGGGTTTGAGTGTAAGCCTCACCATGTCCTGGCTGTGTGATTCCCAGGAAGTCCGGAAACTCTAGTAGCTTTAGAGCCCTCGTCTGTTAGATGAAGATAACAGTGCCAGACCAACTGTGAGGCTGACGGAAGAAGAACACACAAAAATACTCTGTTCTTCGTGAAGTAATGCGTGCCACATGTTATTTTGGTTCCTGTCAGCTGAACGGTTTAGAATTCACACATAGACGCGCGCGCGCGCACACGCACGCTTGCTTACCAATAAGAGTCGCCAAAGAGCAGTGAGGTACTGTCGGCGTGAACCTGATAATAACCAGATAGTCCTCTTCGTGTAGCTCCTGCACCTGCACGCAGCTCTCCGTCACCACTTCCAGTTCTTCCAAGGTATTGGGCTTCTCTGGGTCCCGGATGGTTCGGATCAAATCTGAAGAGCGCCACAGAGAAGGCGTTAATCATAACACGGAGCGGCTCGATGAGGACGGCTCTGCGAACCACATTCTAAGCACTGACCTCTCTGTGAGCAAATATTACAGCAACTTCCAGGCTTCTGACAGAAGTTTCCACTACCAGTTTCTTTTGCGGGGTTGGGGGAATGGGATTGAAACCCAAGCGGCACCGAGCTACATGCCCAGCCCTTCCTATTTTTTAAATTTTCCAACAAGGTCTTGCTAAATGCCCAGGCTGGCCTTAAAACTTGGATTATCCTGCCTGTGCCTCCCTAGTAACTGGGATTACAAGCATGCACCATGATGCCTAGCTCTGTTTTCTTTTTTTTTGGTTTGTTTTTGTTTTAGTTTTTCCAGTCAGGGTCTCATTATGGAGTTCAGGTTGGCCTTAACTCACTGTGTAGCCCAGGCTGACCTCGAACTCACAGTGATCCTCCTGCCTCAAGCCCCTGAGTGCTGGGATTACAGGCATGCGCCACCACGCCGGGCCCAAGAAAACTGGTTTTTTCAATCATCATTAGCTCATATCCAATTTCTTACATCCAATGTCACAGAGCAAATGAATTAAGAATAGGAAAAGTATCATAAGAGCTCAAGAGAAATTTCTGGCTTTGGAAAGTGTGGTATTGGGCTTCATAAAGTATAATCTGAAAAAAAAAAAGTGTAATCTGAATCAAGCCTTCAAAAATGGTAACATTTCAACATCTGACATTTAAAGTGACAGGAAGCAAAGGAAGAGGAGTTTCAGTTGCCTGGAACCCAGCATAAGTGAAGAATAGAAGAGGGGAAGGGTTGAGCCAGCTGCTTCCAGGCAATCTGGAGTTCTCGAAGGAGAGAATAAGACACCAGGAGAATGACTCAAATGCTAAGTGCAAGGGCCTGGAATAGTGGTGGCGAAGCTTTTAGAGCTTCCCGCTGCGCACGCGTGCCTGAGGTTCGCCAGCACCAACAGGATAAAAAGAAATGGAACAAGGAAAATACCTAGGTGAGGGCTGGGGCAAGTGAGTTCAGTTTCGTACACAGAGATTTTGAGGTGCTCAGGGGCAGCTCAGAGGAACTTCCCAGCAAGTACTGAACGGTGGCCTTGCATTCCAGAGAGCCCTGGGGCTAGTGAGGTTGTTGGATACATGGAATTCATAAAGAATAAGAAGAACTTAGGCTGAATGCTGGAATTATCTGTAAAGCTTTTAAACGAAAAACTCATGTGTGGGTCCAACCCTAGAGATTCTGATTAGGGTTTGAGGTATGACTTGAGCATTGAGGCTTATCAGGAAAAAAAATTACTCCCTAACAGACTGTCAGTTATAACAAATAACTCGTGAAGCTGAGGCAGAAGGATGGATGGCTGCAAGTTCAAGGCCGCCTGGGTTACACAGTGAGTTCATTGTCAGCCTGCACTCCCTAACAACACCCTGCCTCTTTTTCTTTTATTTTTTTTTTTTTTTTGTTTTTTTGAGACAGGGTCTCACTATGCAGTTCAAATTGGCCTTGAGCTCACTTTGTAGCCTAGGCTGGTCTTGAACTCGCAATGATCCTCCTGCCTCAGCTTCCCGAGTGCTGGGATTACAGGCGTGTGCCACCACACCCGGCTGTGACACCGTGTCTCAAAAAAAAACAAAAAAAATGTTTTGTGGGTACTGGGAAACAAACTCAAGACCTTGTGCTTGCCAGACAGGCGCTGTGCTGCTGAGCTATATCTGCTGCTGAGCTATATCCCCAGCCCCCTATAACAAATAATATGAAACGTTAATAAGTGAAACTACTAGGTATATAGAATTCTGTGTACTAATTTCACAATTCTGTCAACCTAAAACTATTTTAGATAATAAAAATGTACTTAAATTTCAGCCAGGCGTGGTGGCATATGCCCGTAATCCCAGCACTCAGGAGGCTGAGGCAGGAGGATCTTTGCAAGTTCAAGACCAGCCTGGCCTACAAAGTAAGCTCGAGGACAGCCTGAACTGCACAGCGAGACCCTGTCTCAAAAAGACAAAAAAAAAAAAACCAAAACAAAACAAAATGTACTTAAACTTGAAAAAAAAAATTCCTCAGGTTATTGTGTTTCCTTTCTCTTATGGTGCCAGGGGTTAGACCCAGCGCCTTGCACATGCCAGGCCAGCAATGTGCGCTGAGAGCCTCTCCACCCCTTCAGGTTATGCGCGCCCAGTCTGAGACTCACTGATCTACAGGCGAAGAAGCCCGAGGACCGATGCTTGGGAAGTACACTACATGATTTAATGAGTAAAGAAAGGAGCGCAAGGAGAGCCAGAAGAAGGGGTGCCTCTGACGCTGCAGAGAAATTCAGGCTGCCAAGACCTAAAACAGATCTTGGTCACCTACAAGAAAACAGGAGGAGGCTGGGGCCAAAGGCCGCTTCCCCAAAGGGGAAGTGAGTGGGAACTGAAAACTGAGTGGGAACCGAGAATGTATTCATAGGCTCTCGGCTGGAAAAACCGGGGCAGAGAAAGGACAAGTTTACATAAGGAAACTGAAACAATGACAAGGGTAAGGGTGGGAACCCCGAGTATGTTTCCTAGCCCAAAGAGAAGAATCAAACAGAGGAAGGCAGGTAAAATTAAGCAGAAGGGAATGGGATTAAGAAAGTGGAAGCCTGGGATGGTCACAGGAAAGACAAGATTTCCTCCTTGCTCTGCAGCTATAGAAAAAAGATGAGAGGGAGGATGATAAAGAAAAACCGAGAGGCAGAAGGGCGAGAAGCAGAATTTTTGGTAGGATGGGCTTAATGTTTTCCAGCTGGGGTCCTATTCTATTTTTTTTTTTGGTTTTTCTCCGGTACTGGGAACCGAACTCACGACCTTGCGCTTGCCAGGCAGGCGCTTTGCCGCTGAGCTAAATCCCCAGCCCTGGGGTCCTATTCTATTACTTATAGCTCCCCTGTAATCAGAAATGCAGCTGGGAAAAACAAATCAATCAAACTCTACCTTCTCCTCAGCTGTCTCCTGGGCTTAGCACCTGATGAGGAGCAGAATTTGAAAATACAGGCAGGAAAGTGGAGATTCTCCTTCACAGAGCTGTGTTACCATGGGATTTAAGGAACTCGGGTTTTTTGAAAGGGAAATTTTCTGCACCTCATTCTAGGTTTTCTCCCTCTGAGGTTCATTTATAAAAGCTATATTATGTTCTTTATCTGCCACTGAATCCTGCAATTAAACCTCACTATTAAACTTCTCTGGTTGCCTAATGATTTAAGAAGTTTGGGTTTCTTTAAAAAGAAGTCAGTGTTGCGCTCCTCACTTTACTCCCGGAATAAATTTTTCCTACGGCTCAGCCCTGATATTAAGATTCTTCATTTATATTTAAGAGTTGCAGGTTCCCATTCTAGCCTAAAGCCATGTTCACACCTCTGCCCGGAACCAATAAACCCTGTCCTGGAGCTCCATCTATCTGCCCTTCCCAGCGTTGCTGTCTAACCTCCATACTTTTATTCTGGTTTCCTCAGCTTAATCTGCCCTCTGACCTCCACATACCCAGATCCCACAATTTCTCAAGGCCCAACTCAAGCGACTACTCCGGAGTCTTCCCAGGCCCCCAGTCAGATGAATAAGTCTGAAGACTAGAATCATCTCTTCTGCAAAGCTTATCCTCGGGTGCTGAAGACAAAGGTCTGGAAGGTCAGGCATGTGTCCACTCGCTCTGTGGAGAGCAGTATGCTCCGGATTATCATCTGCCTGGGATTAAGGAGACCCTGCCTCTATCAAAAGGTAAACCGGATTAGCTTCAAAGGCCTTTCCCATTCCTGGCTTTCTCCTGCTGGCCTATAACCCTTATCCAAACTGCATTTATACTGTCATGGTTAGCGCTGTTCATGTTACATCCAATCTTTTTAAGTTTTTAAAAATAACATTAAGAGGGGTTGGGGATTTAGCTCAGCGGCACAGAGCCTGCCTGGCAAGCAGGAGGTCGTGAGTTCGATTCCCAGTACAGGAAAAATAAATAAATAAAAAATAAAAAAATAAAAATAACATTAAGAGAAGCCAGGCGTGGTGGCACACCAATCCCAGCACTCCGGAGGCTGAGGCAGGAGAATCGTTGCAAGTTCAAGACCAGCATGGGCTGGCTACAAAGTGAGCTCAAGGCCAGCCTGAACTGCATAGGGAGACCCAGTCTCAAAAAAGACCAAAAATCAAAAAAAAAAAAAAAAAGAAAAAGAAAAGAAAACATTAAGAGAGAGCGAGAGAAGGAGCAGCATACCGCACTTGTGCACGAAGCGACGCGCACTACATGCAGAGGAGACTCGGGCTTTGGTTTTTGCTCTGTTCCTGAGTGTGACCTCGGGGTAATTGTTGAACCATTCTAAGCCTTTGTGTCTGTGCACCTACAATGAAAATAGTCCCAAGAGGCACAGAATATTCAGTACGTACAGAGAGTATGTGTGTATGCGTGTACCATACACATGCAATGCAGGTTGGCCGTAGGAAGGAACTGCAAATTCGAGGCCTGGCCAGGTCAATCCTGTCCCGTCTGCTCCTCTCGGGGACCTCCGCGTATTGAGTCCGCCACAGAAGAGCGCTGTGACCTTGGGCCGGTCCCCGCTCGGCCACCGCACAGCAGGGCCCTCGGCAGTTAGGGGCGCGGGCGCGGCGCCATCAGGCCGGCTGTGCTCCCTCCGGACCAGCCTGGCTCCGGCTTTGCGCTGGGTCTTGCAATGGCCCCTGGGCACCGGGCGAGGACGGGCAGTGAGGCATCTGAGACTTGCACGCTCAGCGTGCCCCAGGTTTCGGAAGAACTCCGGTCTGTGATGCAGACTCCCGCGTGGGCTAGGGCCCCGCGGAACACGCTTCCCACGCTCCCGGCTAGGTTCGGCCAAACCCCTTTTCCCACCTCCCACCGCCTCTACACAGAAAGCCAAACGCGCCACTGGATAAAATTAATTACCATAAACCTCTAGCGCTTTCTCTTCCATGATCCGGGGCTGCCGGGCAGCTCCCGGCTCAGAGAGGCCCGAGAGCCACAGGACTCTGCTCAGCGTCCAGGAGAGAAGCCCGGACACCCGCTCCATCCTCACGCTCCGCCATCCCTGGCGATTGTCCCACCCGAGCCACCGTCTCTCAGCAGCCGGCCTCAGGATTCATGAACTTCCTGGTCTTCAAACGGGCCAAAACAAGAAAATAATTTCAAGAGAGCCGAGAATCAGCGGGACACGAAGGAGTAGCGCGGAAGACTTAAGGAAGGAAACCACCAGGACTACATGCCCCAGCATGCTTTGCTTAGTTTCGGCGGGACCAGAAAACAATCCTCACGGCCTTTGAGGCGCATTGAATGCTGGGATGTATGTGACGTTTTCTCCAGAAGACAGCGAACTGTATTCTGGGATTTGTAGTCCGGCGTGTGTGTCGGGGGGTGAAAATAACGGTCACTGAGAGCGTCGCTCAACGTCCGAGATAAGGCAACATGAATCCTGAAGAGGTAGAGGGGAAGGAGATCGTGGTGTCTAGCACGGAGACTTTACATTTGTTTCTCTTAAGGGAACGGCTTCCAGCCAGAATCTCCTTACTTCCTGATTAGGCCGGAAGTGGGTTTCAGTGCGAGGGAAGTCGCCAGTCTTGGGAGGCCAGTAAGGAGAGTTAAACATGGCAGACGTAAGACAAGGGGTTGGGTTTTTTGGTTTTCTCATCGCCTAGGGACTCAGTCCGACAGCTCCCCATTACGGGGAATAGTTCTACCAATCGCCTTCAAGACAGCTTACAGGCAGAGAACTTTCCCTGTGGTCTAATTGACATAATGGAGATCGCCATCCTAAAAAACGGAAGTTTAAGTCTTTTGCGTTAGTGGCGGTGAAGAATGCCAGTTATGACACTGGTAATTCTGTTTCACACATCTATCCCTCCAGATAACTCTCAGACATTTACCATTTAGTTTGCTATAGGCGACCCGTAAGCACCAAGGTTACGAAGATAGGGGGCCTTGTCCCTGCCCTTGTGTAGACCCCATACCTGAGAGAACTGCATCTAGTGCTGAAGATACGCAGTTAAAAGCAAACACCCTTTCCAATGTTGGTGACACGTTTTATTTCTGTAAAAGAGAAAGTCTGGGTTTCGTGGCTCCTGCTTGTAATTCCAGCTATTTGGGAGGCTGAGGCAGGAGGACTGCAGGAGTGACAGTGTGGGCCACTTAGTGAGACCCTGTCTCAAGACAGGCAGACAAAAAGGTTGGGGATGCAGCTCAATAATAGAGTGCCCCTAGATCCCCAGAATCAGCCAGTACCCTTCCCCGACAAAGTTAGCATTATACACTATTGCAGAATTGTCCCATGACAGACAATGAATCATTCAGGTCCGTGTTCAGAATTTAACAATTTCCCTGCCCCTTATTTTACTCCATTCACTCCACAGCAATTGAAAGAATAATGCTAAGATCCTTCCGACCAAATTTAAAACACTGAGGTCTCATTCCCTCTGTGAAGCCTCCCAGACTTCTTCAAGCAGTATCGATAGCTGGGCGTGGTGGCGCACGCCTGTAATCCCAGCACTCGGGAGGCTGAGGCAGAAGGATCTTTGCGAGTTCGAGGCCAGCCTGGGCTACAAAGTGAGCTCAAGGCCAGCCTGAACTGCATAGCAAGACCCTGTCTCAAAAAAGGGACAAGAAAAGAAAGAAGGAAAACAGAATCGGTAGCTTCTTTCACTATTCCAAAGCACGCGATAGTACTAACATGCTGAGGTGCTTTACATGCCTGCCTCCTCCATTAAACTGTAACACCTCGTGGACCACGAGCTTGTTCATCTGAAATGCACAGCCAGGTGCCAGGCTCACAGTAAATGCTCAGGATCTAGCGAATGAATTAACCGAATGTGGTCCAAAGACGAAGGGACAAAACTTTCCTGCGGTGGGTCTGTTCAGAGACTTCAGTTAAAAAGTCATTTATTGAATCTCTGTGGGGCACTGTGCTTGGCATGGGTATGTTTTCAAACATGTTCAGTTACAGGCTCCTTTATTCAAAGGCAACCTTAGAAGCCGGTTAGATAACAGAGCACAAAGGAACCAAGCAGCCCCTAGCTCCTCCTCTGCCCCTTCGGCGCGCCTCGTCAATGGCTCGGCGGTGGCGGTCCCGGGCTCTGATTTGCGGGGCTGCGGCCGAGGCCCCGCCCCAGCGCCCGGGCCCCGCCCACCTCCCCGCCCCGCCCCTCCCCGCGGGTCCCGCAGGGTCCGTCGTGGCCCGCGCGTTCCTCGCCGCGCTGGAACGCTTTGCTCGCGGCGCTATCTCTCCATAAAGTTGTTGTTGCGGCTTCCGCCGCGGGTGGAGGAAGATGGCGTCGGGAGGCGGTGGCTGCAGCGCTTCGGAGAGACTCCCTCCGCCCTTCCCCGGGCTGGATCCGGAGTCTGAGGGGGCTGCGGGGGGCTCAGAACCCGAGGCTGGGGACAGCGACACCGAAGGGGAGGACATTTTCACCGGCGCGGCGGCGGCAGTGAGTTCGCACGCTCGGGGCAGCCGGCGGGAGAGCGCCCCGGAGACCGGGAGGCTAAGCGAGTGTCGGCGTCTGGGGAGAGAGGGCCTGGCGCCGCCGCCCCGGGCGGGAAGGGTGTGCAGTGAGGGGTGTGGCGGCCTCGCGGCTGAGCCGAGCCTCGCGCCTCCGCGGCCGCCCTTTGCCCCTGCCGTGCACGTTGCGGCTCGGCCAGGCTGAGCTAGAGCGCAGGACAAGGGGACGGCGCGCAGACCCCCCTTGCCCGTGCCTTACTGCTCCTGGGTGGAGAGCAGCGACCCGCCCGCAGGGCCTCTGGCCAGCGCAGCTCGCAACCTCTTAGCCGCTCCTTATCGAGACCCGCTCTGCATCTCTGTTTGTAAGGCTTGGGTGACCCTCTGAGCCCGGGAGAGTCGGGCCGCAACCCTGCGTAGAGAAGGCCCCGCCAGATAAATCCCTACCAAGACCGGAGAACTTTGTTCCCGTTAAAGGGATGCCTTAAAATGCACAGCATTTCCCTGGGGGCGCATCTATAGACGTGAGGCGGAAATGGTGGTTCTTACAAGTAAATATCCGGGGTTCTAGTAAGAGAATTCGGTACGGGGGCAAATCATCTTTATATTTGGAATGTGGAACTCAGTAATCAGTTATGGAAGCAGAGGAGATGTTTCAAGCTGTTTTATGAGAAAAGTGACTCATCCGGGTTGGTACAGTTAGTTCCAGATTGTAAACTTCTTCAGTGCTGGGTCTATGAATTTTATCTTGGGATCTTAGATGATGGTTCACTGCAGGAGCTACTCCGTATCTAAGTGAAACAGCTTTAAATTCTTTAGGCAGCATATGTCAGAAAAAACGAGGCTAGCTTCACTTAATGTCAGAAAAAAAATCATTTTGGAGATATCTGCTGTGAAAGTCGTTAGAATTTACCTACATTCTATTCAGGAATTCAGTCCATAATCCCAGCTCATAAAGTGCTTGCTGATGCTGCTATAACAGCGAACTGTCTAATGAAGTGTTTTGCTGCCACTTTATGCCATTTTAAACAAACCTTTATATCGTTAATCTCCCACAAGTCATGGAGAAAAGCTACTGTTGGTAACTGCTGATAGCTATTCAGAATGAGTATCTGAAAATTAAAATTCTGGCACTGAAAGTGATTGGGTATGCAGGCAGATGATTTATTTTCCAGAAAAAGGGACTGGAAAGAGGCATTATTTTCCAAGAAGTGTTTTTCTCTGAGGAAGTTCAGGAGGCTGTGGTTTGATTGATACACCAGTTTATGGAGGCATGGTACCTCACTATGGTAAGATTATAGAAATCCCGTGCCTACTTTCCAGCTAGTAAAAGGAGGAGGGGGTCAGAATGACCTTGTTTTACCACAGAAAGTATAATTATTTGTCCTTAGATTTGTCCAGAAAAACTGAGTTGCTATGGAAACTCAAAAGCTATTTGTAAGCCATTTTTCAAACTATCTGCCCTTGATACTAATCTTCAGGAAGCCAAGATACTTATACCTCCCTAAACTGTTTTGTTAAACACCCACTAAATACAGACTACATATGAATAAATGCTTTAGTTGTGAATCAGAGATGACAGGGGACTGTAGCACTTTGCTATTTTGCAAAACACTGAAGAAATAAGTAATTAGGACAGCAAGCTTTGGGGTTTTTTTTTTGTTTTTGTTTTTGTTTGAGACACAGTCTCCCTATGTAGTGCAGGCTGACTTTGAACTTGTGGAGATCCTCCTGCCTCAGCCTCCCAAATGCTGGGATTACAGGCATGTGCCACCACACCCAGCTGAAGTCTGATTTAAATCTAGACTCTATTACTTGCTAGTTTAATTTTTTTTTTTTTTTTTTTTTTTGGTACTGGTGATCAAACTCAGAACTTTAAGCTTGCCAGGCAGGCGCTTGTGCTGCTGAGCTATATTCCCATGGCAAGTTTTAACTTTTTTTTTTTTGGTCTTTTGGAGACAGGGCCTATAGCTATGCATTTCTGGCTGTCCTTGAGCTCACTTTGTAGCCCAGGCTGGTCTCAAACTCACAATGATCCTCCTGCCTCAGCCTCCCGAGTGCTGGGATTACAGGCGAGCACCACCATGCCCAGCCCTAGTTTAACTTTAGACAAGGTCCTTTCTACAGTGCACCCCCCATGAAATGAACAATAATAGTGCAGTTGGAGCCCTCTATCTTGGCTCTGGCATCTCTGGATTCAACCAGCCACAACAGATAATATTTGAGGAAAAATAACATCTGTACTTAACATATAGTGTATAGACTTACTTTCTTGTGATTACTCCAAACAGTATAATATTTTTTTAAAAGCTACTTACATTGCATTACGTGTCACAAGTAATCTAGAGATGATTTAAGTCTGAGGATGTGTGTGGGTTATATGCAAATACTTGTACTACATGCAAAAGAACTGAGCAGCCGAGGGAATGGGCAGGGTGGGGCCCTTATTACAGGGTTCAGTTAGAATATCTGTGAAAGCACTTAAGGGTTCCTTCCACATCATACACATTTAAAGAGTACTTAACTGCTTTGCATGCTGGAGCTATATTTGTTGGTGAGCATTTTGGTTTTGGTTTTTGAGACAGGGTCTTGCACTCACTATGTAGTCCAGACTGGGCTCCAACTTGCCTTGGTCCTCCTGCCCCCAGCCTCCCCAGTGCTGGGATAACAGGCTTGCACCACCATACCCAGCTTGTTGACGAATATTTTGTAAACTGGAGTTATTTTAGGATTCAAAAACCTCATGAAATCTAATAATGAATTAGAAAAGTTAACCCTAAAATGGATAATGCTTTTTATCAAAGTCAAAAGCAACTAGTAAGGGGCTGGAGATTTAGCTCAGTGGTACAGCGCCTGCCTGGCAAGCGCGAACTCGTGAGTTCGATTCCCGGTACCAGGAAAAAAAAAAAAAAAAAACCAACTAGTAATAAGATTGATTTTGATTAGCTAAAAGCCATCAAAGTAGAAATTTAATGATTTCAGTAGCTTCCTTTTGATTTAAGTAAATCTTCATACTGTGTTATATTTTGGAGGCAAAGGCATGGGCCCTGAAGAATTGTGTAATTGAAGCTTGTAAAATTTAAAACTGATTTATGGTATGTGTGTAATTTCCCAGACACTGATATAACAGCTGCTGCTGTTAATCATCCCATCTGCTCTCTTTTACAACCCTAGGCTTTGTTAATACAGTAATAAAAATGTGATTTGATTTATAGTAGAAAGAGCAGTTTAAGATATTCATCTCAAGATCTGTAATCCAGTTATTTGAGTAGGAGAGACTATAGAGAATTAAGAGTAGAAACCAGCTTGTGAAGTCCTGAGTTTTGTGTTTTTTTGTGTTTTTGTTTTGTTTTGTTTTGAGACAGGGTCTTACTAGCAGTTCAGGCTGGCCTTGAGCTCACTTTGTAGCCCAGGCTGGTCTCAAACTTGCAACAATCCTCCTGCCTCAGCCTCCTGAGTGCTGGGGTTACAGGCATGTGCCACCACGCCCAGTTGAAGTTCTGACTCTCAAGAAAAATGAAGACCTTTTATCTTCTGCCTCTTTGTGGGCCTATAAATTTAAAAACTTAAATTCTATATTAGCTGAATCTCTGTGGAATTGAATGCAGATATGTGACTTTTCAGTTAAAACTTTCTTAATTCTGGAATAGGATTAATTTTCTCTGAGTAAAACAAGAGACTGACTTTACTAGTCTTATCTGCAAACTTCCAGAGTGATTAGAGTTGAAGCAAATTCTTCTCTTTGCCTTCCCAGAAGTTCTTACATGCCTGGCTGTCTCTAGCACCAGGTCCACAATTAGATTTGTCTCTAAATAAAAGCAGATGGTGGGGGATATAGCTCAGGGGCACAGGGCCTGCCTGGCAAGTACAAGATCCTAGGTTCGATTCCCAGTACCAATAAATACATAAATAAAAGCAAAAAATTGTGGTAGCTTTGCTCATGCTGCGAGGAAGAAAACATAAATAATATCCTCAGTTCAGATCCTGGTCAAATGTAGTACCTTCTTTAGGTGATATGTCAGGCAAATTAGAATTTTTTCCCTGTTACTCTTATTTTTTAATGGAAACCCTAGTGATTAGAGAAATGTCTGGAAAAAATGAAATAAGGTAAAGAAAGAATAGCAAGGGATTTGAAAAGTCATATGTGGAAAATTTTTCCTTGATTAGTCAAGAAATATTTACAGAGGCCAGGCATGCTGGCAGATGCCTATAAGCCCAGCACTCAGGAGGCTGAGGCAGGAGGATGGCTATGAGTTCAAGGCCAGCCTGAACTGTGTAGCAAGACCCTGTCTCCAAAAAACAAATCTAAAATTTGATAATGCCCTAATTGGCTACAGTGAAACAGGTATTTTTGTATACTGATGATAGCAGTGTAAATTAATGCAGTCATCTCGATGGCTGGGATTACAGGCATACATCATCATGCCCAACTAACCAACTGTTTTGAAAAGTTGGTAAAAGCCACATAAAATTTACCACATGAGATTTTAAATTTGGTTTTCTTTCTTTTGTGTGTGAGACACGGTTTCACTATGTAGTCCAGGCTGGCCTTGAGCTCATGAATGTAGCCAGAACTCTTGCCTCTCCTGCCAAGCGCTGAGATAACAGATGTGTGTCACTACATCTGGAAATCTTATTTTTAACTACACAATTAAGTAATGTTAAGTATATTCACATTGTGTTGAAACAGATTCTCCAGAATGTTTTCATCTTGCAAGGCTGAACCTCTGTACCCATTAAATTGTAACTCCCCCTTCCCTCTCCCTCCCAGCCTCTGGTAATCACAATTCTAGCTTTACATTTCTGTGATGTTGTTGTTGAAGTATTTTTCCATATTGCTCAGGGTGGTCTTGAACTTGTGAACTCTAGCCATCCACCTGTCTCATCCTCTCCTGACAGCTATGACCACAGGCACATGGCCACAGTCCCCAGTGTGATGGCTAAGCTTCGATTACTACAGATACATTACGTAAGTGGAATCACTTACGTTCTTGTCTTTATGTGACAAGCTTATTTTATGTAGTCTGATGCCTTGATGGTTGCTTCTACTGTTGGTTTTTTGTTTTGGGGGGATTTTGGGAGGGTTTTGTGGGTTTTTTCTTTTTTTTTGTTTTTTTGAGACAGGGTCTTGCTATGCAGTTCAGACTGGCCTTGAGTTCACTTTGTAGCCCAGGCTGGTCTCAAACTCGCAATGATCCTCCTGCCTCAGCTTCTGGAGTGCTGGGATTACAGGAACGCACCACCGCGCCCAGCAGTTGCTCATACTATAAATGGTGAATAATATTCTATCATATGAACATGGCACATTTTGTTTATCTAGCCATCTGCCAGTGGACACTTGGGCTGCTTCTACCTTTTTGTCTATTGTGAAAAGTGTTACTTTAAACATGAACATACAGATATCAAGACTCTGCTTTCAGTTCTGTAGCATGTATGCCCAAGAGTGGGACTTCTGGGTCCTGAAGTAGTTCCTCCTTTCTTTTTTAAAGAAAAAAAAAAAAAAAAAAAAAAAAACCAATAACAATAGCAAAAACAAAACAACACAAAAACAAGAAAAACAATACAAGATTTCAAAACAAGATGATAGGAATTAACAGTGGTTGTTATATTACATATTGTTATCTTCAACAAAGTTGCTCAGATTACCAGATGAAAGAATGCGAGACTGATGAAACAAAGAGAATAAAAAGTAATAAAAAATTAGAAACGATACAGAGCTTCACTAAAAAGGGTGGTAGGAATTCAACATGGTTGTTATATTGCATATTGTTGTCTTCAAATTAGTTGTTCAGATTACCAGATATAGGCATGCAAAATTGGTCAAGAAAAATAAATTTAAGCATTGTGTTCCTTTCAATACACCAGTACACACCAGCAGTACAATTATGCCAGCTATCCTTGTATATACATATTTTTTTTCCTTCAGTTTTTTTCTGTTCCCTCATCCCAGTTGTTCCTTCCCTTTGAGCAATTTCTCTCCCTTTTACAATATCTGTTGTACCTTTTGGGTTTTATTTACTTTCAAATTCTTACAGTAGGGAGACAATGTAATGTTTACACATATGGGTCTGATTTTAAAAATATGGAAAACTTCATGAATTTGCGTGTCATCCTTGCAGGGGCCCTGCTAATCTTCTCTGGATCATTCCAATTTTAGTACATGTGCTGCTGAAGCATGCACTCCTAAGGTAGTTTTGCTGCCAATATTTTGAAGAACTTCCATACTACTTTCCATAGTAGTTGCACCACTTTACAATCCCACTTGAGCTCTTTTTAAATCTGGAGTGCTTAGAGGATAACTTTTTTTTTTTTTTTTAGAGGATAGCTTCTTTGTTTCTGGACATGGCTTTATTAAAAGCCATAACAGAGCCAACTGTTGAGTGGCCCTGTAATTCCACCACTGGGGAGGCTGAAGCAGGAAGATCAGGAATTCACAGGCCACTTTGAATTTTGTAGCAGGACTATCTCAGAAAAACAAAGCATTGGCTATTGTGGCTTTCCTCACGATAGCACACCCTGGACCCTTGAGGGAGGGTGTACTTTTATCTTGTTCTTTCTTCTTTTGCTGGCCCAAACTTGCTCTGCATAGCTAGTTTCTCCCTCTCTTCACTATTACTTTTTCAGGTAAGCCAGGCGTGGTGGCGCATGCCTGTAATCCCAGCACTCGGGAGACTGAGGCAGGAGGGTCATTGCAAGTTCGAGACCAGCCTGGGCTACAAAGTAAGCTCAAGGCCAGCCTGAACTGCATAGCGAGACCCTGTCTCAAAAAGACAAAACAAAACAAAAAAAAAACAAAAAAAAAAACCAACTTTGTCATTTAAAAGCAAACAAAGCAAAAAAAAAAAAAAAGCCATAAGGAGCTTGATGGTTCAGCTGGTCGGAAAACGTGCACCATAGCTGTTCCCAGGGTGTTTCCTGCCCTGGCTGTTTATTGACACTAGCCCCTTGGTCTTAACCAAACTTCTACATAATGTATTCAGAAAGCCAACCTACATAATATCTTAAACAAAGATGTGTTGCTTGGTCCATTAGTTAATGCTTTAGTCATTTAAAACTAATAGTAGTTAGGGGTATGTTTCCCTCTGAGGTATAGTATCTTCTACTGGCCCACTACTTCAGACGCTTCTTTTTTGCAGGTGACGTCACAGCAGGTGGTCAGGTCTGGTTTAAAGATCAGAAGGTAAAATTTCATTTTATGACAAAGGTGTTGTTAAAAGCCAGGCATGGTGGTAGCACACCTGTAATCCCAGTACTGGGAGGTTGAGGCAGGAGGACCTCAAATTTGAGGTCGACCTAGGCAATATAGCAGGACTCTATTCCCAAAAAGTTCTTGAAAAAGTTAATGATGGGTGTTACGGCAAAAGTTTAATTTTAGCGTTCAGTTCAGATAGTAAAAAGTTTTACTTCTATTTATATTGCCCTAAAGTACATCAAATTATTTATTATTATTATTCTAGTAAGTAATTTAGCTTTCAGAATTATGCAGGAAAGCTAATAAACATAGTTATAAAAGCACTTTTGGAGAGAAGTTTTTAAAGATGACTGGTAAGAATCCACCTTAAACTTAATTTAAGTTGTTAAGGTTAGGGGAAGGAGGAGAAAGAACACTCTTAATTTCTCTCCCTTGGTCTTCGTGCCTCTCCACTCTAACTTTTCCCCAAAATAAATGAGGAGTAGCTGAGAGTTGCTAGTGCACGTAACTGTAAGTATCTCATTTCCAGGAAAAGCCTGTTGCTCAACTTTTTCTGGCTTATTCTTCTGCTTAGTCACATGGAAAGCGGGGGTTTCGTTCTGTTTTCAGAGCAGATTTGAACAGGGTGTGCTTTTTCACATTTTAGACAAGAATCCACCCATTAGTACTTTGATCCTTCCGCAGTTTTTCTGGATCCTTCAAAGTATAATCTGTTTGCTTAGGGCCCAGAAATTTTAGTTGAGAAATTACACCAGAGAACTGAGTAGCGTGTGCATGGCTGGATTTTGGTGAATGGAGAACTGCCCTTTCCATTTGTGGTACCTGAGGGCCCTGCTGGTGGTTTTTCTTTGTCAGCTTCAGGCTCAGTTTCCCACCTTCCTGCTCCCCTTTTCCTCTGCCTCAGTTCTTATCTTTTTTGTGCTGTGGACTGGAGTAGGCCAGAAAAGCCTGTGGAGCTCTTCTGCAAATATTTTTATTTTTAATGTCCAAACAACAAGATTACTGAGTTCAAGGCTAGCCTGGGCTACACAGTGAGTTCAAGGCCCACCTGGATTACACAGTGAGACCTTGTCTCTGAATGAATGAATGAATGAATGGCAAGTCTCTTCTTCCCCCAAAGATGTCTACATCCTAATTCTAGAGTTGGTGAATATGTTGTTCTGTGGCAATGGTGTGCTAAGGTTGAAGATAGAATTAAGATTATGAATCAGATGACCCTAAGATAAAGAAAGTACCCAGTTATCCGGGCAGGGCTATAATTAAAAGGATCCTGAAAAGACCAGGCATGTTGGTGCACGTCTGTAGTCCTAGCACTTGAGAGGCTGAGGTAGAAGGGTAGCTGTGAGTTCGAGGCCATCCTGGGCTACAGAGTCCCTGTCTCAAAAATAATAAAAATAACAAAACAAAAGGATCCTTAAAAACATGAGCAGAGCCTGTGGAAGACGATTGCAGAAGAGCAGACACAGAGAGGTGAACGTTGTCGACTTTGAAGGTGGGTAGGAAAGAGGCCAGGAGCCAAGGAATGGCCTGTACGAGCTGGAAGGGTAGAGGAAGAGATTGCCCTCCAGAACTTCCAAAAAGCCGCGCAGCCTGCTGACGTCTCAGCTTACCCCAGTGAGACACCTGTTGTGCTTCTGCAGTATTATACAGTGATAAATTTGCATAGCTTCAGCTGTTAAGTTTCTGATGATGTGTTCTGATGGCAATGAAAAGCTAGTACACTAACCCTGCTTTGTTCATTTCCATCACTAAACGTGGCAAAAAGGAGCAGTATTGCATCCCAAGGTTTCCAGACTTCTTTTTTTGGAGCCAGGTATTGAATCTATTACAGCCCCAGCCTTTTTTATTTTTATTTATGGGGTGGGTTCTCACTAAGCTGCTAAATTGCCCAGGCTGGGCTCAAACTTTCCATCTTTCTGCCTGGTCCTCCCAGGGTGCTGGGGTGACTGGTGTGCACCATCGCACCGGCCCACGCTGGTGTGTAAAGACTGTTATACCTGCCCTGTTACTGGAGTCTAGCTCCTGGGGCTGACTTTTTCCTTGTTGTCCCTGTCTGGTTACACTGGTGATTACAGAGCTCCTTAGCCCCATCTTGCCCCACTAAAGTATATTAATTTTCCCTCAAGACAGTGAGTATTCCTGAGAAGCTGTGTTACCTTAGAATTGACCTCAAGGTACACCTGAGCATCTTGACAGTACTGATCCTCTCCGGGCCTCCTGGTGCACAGCAGAGAGGAGCCAGGCAAAGTGAGGCAAAGTAATAGCTGGGTGACCGGAAGGGAAGGCACTGGCACTTCTCAGTCCTGAACGCCTGTGTCAGCTGAGAGGCGGCAGCCCACGTCCATTCTTCCTGAGCGAAGGAAATTATGTTAATGGCGTGGCCTCGTAGTTTGAGTTTGGTAACTGTCGAAAAATACCTGTTTGTTCTTCGCAAAAGTGCTCTTGGCGCAGATCTTTCTATTACCTCTCTAAGGATTAGGCCTGTGTCTGTGTATCTGTAGGCTCTTAGAATCAGAAGCTCTTTAACTTTTACATAGGCGTATCCCTGGACCCACCCTCTAGAATTAACAGTCAAAGGGAAGAAGCAAGTGTCAGATGGCCTAGCTGGGAATTCTGTCCACTAGCAAAAAAAGAATGCTGCCTTTATATAAAAAGGAAGCAAGGGGAAGTAAGCAGAGCAGTTCTTTAGTTTCACTTATTATGTCACAAACATACTATTTTCATCTGTTGCCTAGAAATTTATCCCCTTTAAACAGATGGATATTTATGTGGCTTACTACTGAGAGGTTTTAAGAATGTGAATTATATATTGAGTATTGTGGTACATGCCTGTAATCCCAACACTCAAAGGAGGCTGAGGCAGGAGGATCACAAGTTTGAGCCTAGCGTGGGTAGCGATTTTGCAAGACCTTTTCTCAAAACAAAAAATAAAAAAGGTTGGGGTTATAGTTTTGCCTGAAGGCCCAGGTTTTGATCCCCAGTATTGCCAAAGGTGGTAAAGAAAACTTAGTTTTACTATTGATTTTGCCATTTAGTATAACCAGTGTGTCTTCTACCCCTAAAATAAATTCATCCTGGAATTTTAAGGTTTGATTCAAAATTAGCTTTGTAATATAAATTACACCTTAATAATATTAATTAAAAATAGCCTTTGTTGCCAGGTGTAGTATTGCATGCCTGTAATCCCACCGCTTGAGAAGCTGAGGCAGAAGGATTGTCATAAAGTGAGACCAGCCTGGGGTTCATAGTGAGTTCAAGGCCAGCCTGAACTATATAGTTGATAAGTAAAAATAACCTTTGTGTGTGGGAGAGGAGTAATGGGAATTGAATCCATGGCCTATGCAGTTCAGGCTGGCCCTGAACTCACTGTGTAGCCCAGTCTGGCCTCAAACTTGCAGTGATCCTCCTGCCCCAGCCTCTGAAGAGTGCTGGGATTATAGGTGTAAACCCAGCTTTCACTCTTTTTCCTGCCCTTTTTGTTTTGAGAATGGATCTCACTGAGATCCCCAGGCTGGACTTGAACTTGTGATCTTCCTGCCTCAGCCTCCCAGTGTTGGGATTACATTTGTGCACTCCTATGTCCGATTTAATAATAGCCTTTTAACCTTGGATGTAACCTATGAAATGCTCTGTTGTAACACTCAGGTGGTTCTGTATTAATGACAAGCTATTATTGACTCTAGTCCCACAGAAGACTTGAGTCCTGTGTGATTACATGATAACAGGAGCATGTTTCCATTTCTTCTAATCTTTAAAAGTGGTTCTGCTCAGTTTTAAGTCTGATTTTAAGTAAAATTTGAGAATATTGTTATGCCATTAAGGTTAAGTATTCCTTACCCTAAAGAAACAAGCTTAGTTTGTCCAATAGCACTCCATAGCCACAGAAAATAAATGTGTGTGTGTGTGTGTGTGTGTGTGTGTGTGTGTGTGTGTGTATGTATGTATGTTTAATGTGAGTACTGGGAATCGAACTCATGACCTTGCGCTTCGCCTGGCAGGTGCTTGTACCACTAAGCTTATATCCCCAGTCTCAGAAAATAAATTTGATAAGGACAAAAATAAAACAAACAGGAAAAGAGATGACGTTGGGAGGGACGCTATACCATATGCCAGAGCAAGGGCTAACAGGAGAGTGCGCACCCAAGTAATTTTAACTTACATTAAAAAAAAAAACAGGCAAAGACCATAAAGTCACAGAAGTCAAAGAAGTTTTCACCACTCTACCTAGTGACGAACTTTTAAAATCGAATACTTATTGTCACAGTGGACTTACATACTTCTGGGGGGTACATAAATTGATGGTCTTTCTGGAAAGCAGTTTAGCAGAGCCTTGGAGAATTTTATACCCCGTCATTCTACTTAAGAATCTGTGTCCCCCCAAAATCAGATGGACATCACAACATTATGTGATATAACCTGAAAACTAAAATGTCCAGCTGTACAGCGCCTGCCTGACAAGTGCAAGGTCCTGAGTTTGATTCCTGGTACCAAAAAAAATACCAAGCCTTGAGGGTTATGTTGTGGTATACCTGTGTAATTGAGTGAAGTCACTACAAGTGAGATTCTTACACAATTCTTAATGACATGTGAAAATAGTGAGATGGTAGAGAGGGAAAAAACAGGACACAGAGATTTATACATGTAGAAGATTAATTTTGTAAAAGAACCCCAGAGGCGGATTAGGGGAATACCTATGGTAGTGAGTCTTTCTGTTCTCCTGGAACACGGCCATGTGTGGTTTGGGGGTGGGCGCCCAGGGGACACCTCAAAGCAGTTTCCTGTTCTCCCAGGTAGTTGTTATTCCTCGTCACTGTTCCTCTCAAATTCACTTTAGGCTTGAAAGGGTGGAGAAAGAGGCAGGCGACAGTGTTCTAGTTGTCCCTGCAGTATCCCATTCATTGGGGTGTGCTGCTTTATTAGTAAAGGACAAGCTGCTATTTTAGCGTGGCTTCATAAAATATTCTTAGTCATGAACCTCCCAGATTAGATGGTATATCAGAAGTGGAAAGCTGCCTTTATTTATCTACATATCATAGAAGTAGATTCTTCTAGGCATTTTAAAAAATGGCTGCATTTTAATTGTGTCTTCCCTGTTACTCTGGTCTTCCCTGGGAGCTATTGCAAGTTGCATTTATATACAGACATCCTTGATGTATACTGCAGTCTCCCAGGGTCTCCATCTGGAGACAACTGGCTTCTCTGGGAAGTGACTGAGAGAAATCAGGTGGCATCTGATGAGATCACGAAGCTGTGCAAGCGTGAAGGAAGGATGTGGTTTGTAGGAAGGTGGTTGGCAGTACAAGAGGCAAAGGGAAGTGCTGATTTTGTTTTTACTATTATTTGTCTTCTCTTGGCAGTGATTTCTTTTTCTTCTTTTTAAGCTAGAATTTCTGTTTCCCAGGTTGTTTTCTAACTCATCTCAACCTCCCAATTAGCTGGAAATGCAGACTGTACACCGCCTGCCCCATTTGCAGTGATTGCTGCTGCTGTTTTCATTTTATGGTTATGGAAGCAGCTCGAGGACCGACCGCTGTGTCTGACAGAACTGGTATAACATTTAAGCATATAAAACTAAGTGCTCAGCTGGGCGTGGTGGCGCACACCTGTAATCCCAGCACTCGGAAGGCTGAGGCAGGAATATTGTTCTGAGTTTGAGGCCAGCCTGGGCTACAAAGTGAGCTGAAGGCCAGCCTGAACTGCTAGTGAGACCTTGTCTCAAAAAGACAAAAAAAAAAAAAAAAACCTCCAAAAAACTAAGTGCTCATTAAACTTTATTAACATAGGAAAGCGGGGGCTGGAGATGTGGCTTAGTGGTAGAGTACCCACCTGGCTTGCAAGGATCCCTGCATTTGATCCCCAGCGACGCACACACACAGATACACACACACAGAAAAGTTCCAGTGAGCGTCTTATGTTCTAATATAAATCTAAATATCGGCGACAGCCTCTTCTCTGAAAGGCCGCCCCAACATAATGAGGCTGTTTGTGTGACAAGTTCAGAGTTCCCAAATAAGACAAATAGATCTGTCATTTCACTTGGTGCGGTTGATTGAGAAAAGATCTGTCTCCAAGAATAAATTCCCTCAGATTTGTTAAGGAAATGTTTCATAAAAGTTCCTTAAATCAGGTTTTTTTTAACTAAGTTGGCCTGAGGGTCTGACTTCAAAAACCCTGCAGTGCCGCCCCATAGGCTTTTGAAGCCTGCTTCCCAGCCTTCTGTTGAAGGGCCGCACAATTCCGCTTTGTTCTCTCTGGTACGGGTCTGCGGCCCCACCCCACCCTTGTTTGTGGCTGATCACTGAGCTTTTAGTAGAGGCCATGGACGGACTGTGTTTTCACCCTGTGCCTACTAGACAAGCATGACTAGTTTTTATTCCCCTAGCCTGACATGGGGTGTGGTTGAAAGTTTTGTCTTCTGTGAGTTAAGGATGAAAAGATAAGTTATATTTACAAGCAGCATTCTGTTTTTGTTTTTGTTTTTGTTTTTGTTTAATCTTTTTGGGACAGGGTCTCCCTGTGCAGTTCAGGCTGGCCTTGAGCTCACTTGGTAGCCCAGGCTGGTCTCGAACTCCCAACGATCCTCCTACAAGCAGCATTGTTATGTACTTCCTCTGCCTGTTACATGGGTTAGTAATATCTACACAGCTAGGCTTTGGTTAACAGTTTAGCCAGCACCACAAAGTAAAGTCAGGATCTGAGCTTGAATCCTGGACTTCAGGGCGATATCCTGGTCATCAGAATGTGCTCCGTCAGCATATGAAAGAATAAAGGTCATCAGCTGAGAAGGAGAAATACATCTGGACAAGTTGTTTTGAAAATTACCTGTGCGTACACATACCCATATTGGTGTTATGTGGTACAGGTAGGGCATTTCAGCAAGGTTATGGTTTTAGAAATTAACACATTGTATGAACTTAGGTTAGGTCTGTAATCACTTCAGCAGCAGACTTTACATTACTGTCAATGATTCACCACTTATTGAACTGGCAGACTAGTGATCTCTTCCCCTAAAAACCTGTGGGAGCAACTGAGGGGCGCATCCAAAGGCACTTTCTAGGCAAGGTGAGTGCGTTTATAATGGTGCATTTCATTCAGGGTATCCCTTTGTTTTCAGAGTAAACCCCAGTCTCCAAAGAGAACTGCGTCCTTACTTCCCATCAACAATGGCTCCAAAGAAAATGGCATCCATGAGGAACAAGACCAAGAGCCACAGGATCTCTTTGCAGGCAAGTAAATACTATTGTAGAAGATTCTAAAACGTGTAAAACACAGGGCCTGTCATCAAGATTCTTCTGGTGTAGGAAGGAAGACATAAATATACAACTTCTTAAGAACATGAGTTAAATTATTAAGCAATAGTAAAATGTGGTCAGAGGAATTATAGGACTATTAAATTGTAGGAATTTGTAGGAGTATGGGATTACTGGTTGTAGCAGTGGCTTTAGACTTTTATGATCAAGACTCATAATCCAAAATATATTCCTATTTGTGCAAAACTGAAACAAGTTTTCAATAACTTATTACTTCTGATGAAATCTGAAATTCTGTATTGTTTTTCTTTTTACTCTGTCTTTTTTTTTTTTTTTTCTTTTTTTTGAGACAGTCTCGCTATGCAGTTCAGGCTGGCCTGAGGCAGAAGGATCAACTCACTTTGTAGGCCAGGCTGGCTTCGAACTCACGCCGATCCTCTTGCCTCAGCCTCCCGAGTGCTGGAATTACAGGCAAGTGCTGGGATTATAGGTGTGCGCCACCATGCCCAGCTGTTTTTCTTCTTAAAATGCGCTTTGTAACTGATTGATTTCACGGTCTATCAACAAGCTTAATGCACTTTATAACTCACTGATTTCACAATCTACCAACAAGCTACAATATGCAGTTTGAACAAAGCAGGGTTTTTCAACCCTGGTACTATTAATATTTGGGCTCAGTAGTTTTTTTGCTGAGGTAGACTGCCCTGTTCTCAACAGGGGATAATTCTGGCCCCAAAAGACAATTGCCAGTGGTTGGAGTCATTTTTGTTATGATACCTGGGGGTGCTATAATTACCTATTTGGTGGAGGCCATAGACACCGCCGAACTCCCTACAATACGTAAGACAGGCCTTCTCAACAAAGATTCGTTCAGCCCAAAGTGTCAGAGATGCCTACATTGAAAATCTTAGGTCTAGAGTGAACTTGGAAGACTACTTGTAAGAATTAGGAGAAAAAGAAAAAGGGTTCAAATGGCTGGACAAGTATAAAATATATTTGAGGGACAGTCAGTAAATGTGGTGGGCCAAAGCAAGGATTCTCAGAGAAGCCAGGGAACATGATGACGGTGAATATAATTAGGAAACAGGTTTGGGAGGACTTTACACCTCAATAATGAGAGTTTGGATTTTCATCCTAATACCAGCTAAGGGCCATTGGCAAGTTTTTTTGTTTTTGTTTTTGTTTTTGTTTTTTTTTTGTCTTTTTGAGACAGGGGGCTGGCCTTGAGCTCACTTTGTAGCCCAGGCTGGTCTCAAACTCACAATGATCCTTCTGCCTCAGCCTCCCTAGTGCTGGGATTACAGGCCTGCGCCACCATGTTTGCATAAGGAATGTGATAGGGACAGAGTAACGTTTTAGGAAAACTGACCTAGTAGAATTATTACACAGTGGAGACTTGTTAACAACATTATTACTGTTAACATGATTACAAGTGGAGACTTGTTAGAAGATAGTCACAAATTAGTTCGAGGTAAGTGGCATGAACTCACAAACCTCTTGATTTAGTTAGTCTCCTGAGTGCTGGCATTACACATAAGTCAGTTTTTGTTTGCTTAATTATGTTCTTTGACAGCTTGAAGCATTTGTGCTTAAGCAAGAAAGATCTCAGAAAGCAGTTCTGCCTCCTACCTAGCACTCCGAGAAGATGAGGCAGGAAGATCACAAGTTCAAGCCCAACCTGGACAACATACAGACTTAGTACGACCCTTTCTCAACATAAAAATAAAATGAGTTCAAGCCCAAGGATAACCAAAGGAAAGAAAAAAAGAACAATCACACAGTTCTCTTAAGTTTATAGAGTATACCTAAAAAAAAGTAATATTCAAGTGAAGCAATATTAACCTGATGCTCAGAAAACAACGTATTGGGGAAGGGGGAATAGAAGCTAGGTAGGAGGCAGAACTGCTTTCCGAGATCTTTCTTGCTTAAGCACAAATGCTTCAAGCTGTCAAAGAACATAATTAAACAAACAAAAACTGACTAATTGTGATATACAAAGGTAATCCCTTTCAGAGTAAAATTAACAGCCAGAATAATTTTATATGGTGAACGCATATGATCCCAGCACTTTACCATATAAAATTATTCTGGCTGTTAATTTTACTCTGAAAGAGATTACCTTTGTATATCACAATTTGTAACTGATTGTATATCAGTTTGTATATCACAGTTCAGATAAGAAAATTAAAGTTCCTTTTCTCCACTGGGGGGCTGGGAATTAAACGGCAAGCGGGATGTGGTGGCACACGCCTATAATCCCAGGACCTGGGAGGCTGAGGCAGAAAGAGTGCAGCAACTTCGAGGCCAGCCTGGGCTACACAGTGAGTTCAAGGGCAGCTTGGAACTATATTGTGAGCCCCTGCCCAGGAAAAAAAAAAATTAACTGGCCAAGACTGAATATAAACCAGGCGTAGTAGCATACGCTTGTAATCCCAGCAAGCACTCTGAAAGGCTGAGGCGGGATAGACATGTATTATATATAGTATAACATGTTTATTATACTCCCACAGAAGGGTCAGATTATGTTAGCACCCGTCTGTCTTTCTAGATTGAGAGATCAGGTTCTATTTCTAACAGTGTGACAGTTTGGTTTGTAGAGGTGATTCACATTTACTGGTGAGTGTACTGACCTAGAACTGGATTATGCCTTCTAGACCGCCATCTCTGGTTTCTTCTTAACTTTAAATGCAAGAAACAGCTTTCTTTGACATTGCTCACTAAAACTTACTGGTAAGACCAAGCCCAAATGGGTATTTGTTTTTCTGTATAAGAAGGAAAAAAGCTGGGCATGGTGGTACACACCTGTAATCCCAGCATGAGAGGCTGAGGCAGGAGGATCGCCATGAGTTCGAGGCCAGCCTGGGCTACAAAGTGAGCGCAAGGGCAGCTTGAACTGCATAGCAAGACCCTGTCTCACAAAGACCAAAAAAATAAAAGGAAGGGAAAGAAAAGGAACTGGCTCGGCCTATGCTTTCTTCCTCTGTGGTGTTGCTGGGGAAGGAACCCAGAGGTCTGTGTGCACCAGGCAAGCGATCCACACCGAGCTACACCCCAGGCCTCTCGTCAGGGCTAGAGCTTCAGGCGAACTGAAAGTCTTTTTATTTGCATAAGAAATTTTTTGCCTGAAAATGGTACATAATGTTATTTTTAGAAGTCCCCTCTGTAGAACATGTAGAGAATGAGTTGTTCAGCTCAACTAAGTTTGCCCTAGATAGGCCACTTGTAAGCGCTATTTAAAAATAAAAACATGAAACGATTTTGGTGAGAAAGAGTCTCAGACCTCACACATATCACACATCTCTTTTCCCATTTAGATAGCATGTATTAAATATAACTTAATCTTTGCAAGAGTATCTGAAGTATAATTGTGGACAGTGTGGCAAGCTACTCTTTCCCAGGTGTTACTGTATTAGAATCTAGGGTCTCTTTTTCTAGCTTGTATTTTCCCTGACTTGTCCTTTGAAACCACTTTTGCCATCAGTATATGTCCATTGTATGATTTACAAAAATCATTGGTTTATAAACCAAACTTTATATTCTTTTACAAACATAAGCAGACTAAATAGGCTTCATGAGGTTCTAAGGTAATACTTCCAAGAATCAAATTAATGGGCACACATATTTTGGCTGTGGAGTCATTTTACTTGACCCCTGGTTATTACCTAAATTCTAGTTAGGAGAGGGGAGCCAGGTAGTTGTGCTGGGAAAGGAGAGGGAAAGGCTGCTGTGAGGCCTGGCTTCCCTCGCCACCTTCCCTTTTCATCCATGTGGAAATTTCATGGCTCTTGTTCTCTTATGTGAGAATCTGGGAATTAAGAACGTGTACTAGGGGCTGGGGATTTAGCTCAGCAGCACAGAGCCTGCCTGGCAAGCACAAGGTCGTGAGTTCGATTCCTGGTACCGGAAAAAATAAAAGAACGTGTACTAAATTGGGTATAAGCATGCTTGCTATTTTGTGTGTGTTTGTGTGTGAGTTTTAGCCCAGAGAACTGAGGTCCACCTACCAAAGACCCATGACTGACCTTCACCTTCAAAAATCAACTGTTTTTAGATGCCACAGTGGAGCTTTCCCTGGACAGCACACAAAATAATCAGAAGAAGGTGCCAGCCAAAACACTCATTTCTCTGCCTCCACAGGAAGCCACAAATTCTTCTAAGTCCCAGCTGAGCTATGAGGAGGTGAGACTCTGTGCTGCTGGTCTTGTTGCTTTCAGATTTTTAGGACCCTGAGCTACCAGTCCAAAGTCAGTTGAGTGAGAACTTCAGAAAATATTCATGACTACTGAAGGAGATCGTTGTGGTTAATGGACAGCCAGAATCCAGTGCAGTCAGTGGTGGCGAACCTCTCAGAACTTCAGTGACAAATAACCGACTACGGCATGCGTGTCATGGGTTTGCCACCAGTACAGCAAAGCACTCTTCGTTATACGGAGTTTCTACTGCCTGGAGGAAAGCACCAAAGCTTCTGATGTCCACTAATCATATTTAGTGTCTGACGTGCCCATGCTCAGGAATCTGGTCTCTCCTTATTCCCTGCTTACCTTGAAAGAGGCAAGTCTTCCAAAGTCTAGTAAAGCATTGTCATCAGAATAAGGAAACAGATGTACCAAAGACCTGTGAGCTGCACGTGGTGGTGCATGCTTGTAATCCCGGCCTCTGAGGAGGCTGAGGCAGAAGGATCACAAGTTCAGGTCCTATCTGGGCAACTTAGTAGGATCCTGTCTCAAAATTCAAAAAAAAAATCTTTAAAGGAGGTGGGGATGTAGCTGAGTGCTAGAGTGTTTGCCTGGCATGCGTGAGGCCCTGGGTTTAATCCCTGTTACTGAAAAAAAGATTGAAAAGCCAGTCTGTGAACCAGCTCCCAACTTAAAGTGGGGGGAGCTGGCTCACTGGAATCATTGACAACAGACAAAGCTATTAATACATACAAGGGTGCATCTTAAGTTTCTAATGTTAATATAAAGTTAATCTAGGGTAAAATTAATAGTCCTCTTATGTAAATGCTCATGATTTGTCTTTTCTTTAAAAAGCTAGAGGAAGAAGAACAGGAGGATCAGTTTGATTTGACAGTGGGTATCACTGATCCTGAGAAGATTGGTAAGTGTCCTTGGGACTCGTGATGTTAGAGGGAGCTTTGGAAAGCACGGGTCACTAATTCGGGGGGTGCCTACCTCCACAGCTGAGCCAGCCACAGTGAAGCTTTTCATCAGTGTCTTTCCTTTAAAGGTACAGGCCTACATCTTCCCAAGGCCAGCGACAGCAGATACACAGTATGTTATTTAGGCTTTTCTTAGTTTTAAGAAGAGAAACCAGAGATATTAAGTACACTATTCCCTTTTTAAGACTCAAACATTGCCTCTCCCCTCAGTTGGAAAGACTATTTCATTCCCGTTTGAAATCACAGATTCTACTTAAGCACTCTTTTTTTCTTTTTTTTTTTTTTTTTTTTGTCTTTTTTGAGACAGGGTCTCACTCTGCAGTTCAGGCTGGCCTTGAGCTTACTTAGTACCCCAGGCTGGCCTCGAACTTGCAATAATCCTCCTGCCTCAGCCTCCTGAGTGCTGGGATTACAGGCGTGCGCCCTCACACCCGGCTCTTACTTAAGCACTCTAAAAGTACATGTTCTGAAATTTGGGGATTACAGAGCTTACTTTCCCTTAAAAAATTTCAAACTACCGCATATGCCAGTGCATGCCTGTAATCCCAGCACTCTGGGAGGCCAAGGTAGAAGAATCACAAATTTGAGCCCAGTTTGGGTAACTTCAGCAATTTAGTAAGATCCTGTCTCAAAAAATAAAGGCTGGGGAACATAGCTCAATGTGAAGGCCCTGGGTTCAATCTCAGGACAGGAAAGGGAAAAAAATGTTAGTAGTAATAGTCACAGTGTGAAATTCTTGTTAGATATTATTTATTTATCATGCACTGTTGATATCCTAATATGAAGGGGGAGTCCGCCATCTCTCAAAAGACTAAAGAATTCAAGTTAAATTGTGGTGAAACTGAAGTTAGATTTTTAAAGAGCGTAATACTTAACTTTGGCCAGACTTGGATTTTTAGGATACTTTCTTTTGTCCCAAGTTAATGAGAGTTATTAGTGAGCAGAGAACAAGTCCTTGTTCCAGAAATAGTCCCGCATAGAAGAGATTATACAGAACTTCCTCATCCTAAACAGGGTGGTGTTTATATGGTTAACAGAACAAATGAAAAGGATAATTCTTTATTATACAAAAAGTCTAACTTTTTGTCTATTTGGAACTAGGAGCAGGCATATCTAAAGTATAGACTTCATTCCAAAACAGTTGTGATGAGTTATAATAAACATTTCCTCCTTAAACAAACAAACAAACAAACAAACAAACAAACCCCAGTTGTCATTAAACTGTTGGTATTTAGTTTTCCTGGACGGTTGCGCTGGTAGGATGTCTATGAGCACCATATACAGTGCCCTCATGTATTGGTTCAGGAAACTGAGGACCAAAAAGAAAGTAACTCTCCTATTAGAGCACAGTGGTAAAACCAGGACCAGAACTTTGGATCACATGTCTAGGATTCTCTCTTGCCTCTGCAATAATCTAGTATTATGAATATCTTATTACTCCCTTAATTTTAAAGGCTTAGCATGGTGGCATAGACCTATAGTCCCAGGACTTACAAGGCTGAGGCAAGATGACTGCAAGTCTAAGTTCCACTTAGTGAGACACTGTCTCAAAAAATAAATAGAAGCTCAAGGTCGTGAGCTCGGTTCCCAGTACTGGGAACCTCCCCCCGCAAAAAAAATAAAATAAAATAAATAGAGCTGGGGCTGTAGCTCAGGGCAGAGGCCCTGTATTCAACCTCCAGTACCACATAGAGAGAGAAAGAAAGGGAAGGGAGTGGAAGGGGGGGAAGGGAAAAAGAAAGGAAAGAAGGAATGGAAGAAAGGAAAAATTTTAGGCTAGCTGCCTTAAATAAGTGTCTTTCAGTGGCACAGCGCCTGCCTGGCAAGCGCAAGGTCCTGAGTTTGATTCCCAGCACCAAAAAGAAGAAAAAAAGTATGAATGATTAGAATATTGGTACTAACTTTTAATGTTTAGTAAGTCATGATCCTTAAACCAGGAGTGTTTAGCTTCCAAGGACTGTCACAGCAAAGTACCACAAACGAGGTGGCTTGAAAGCACCTGACATACACCCTCGGTTCTGAAGGCCAGAAATCTCAACTGGGGGCGCAGGACATACCCTGAAGGTACAGGAAGGTCCACTCTCTCCTCTGCTAGGTTCTAGTGGCCTCAGGTGTCCCTTGGCCTGCAGAGGCATCAGTCCGAGCTCTGCCTTCATTGTCACGTGGTTTTCTTCCACATCATCTTCCCTCTTCGCTGGTGTGTCTGCGTCTCACTAATCTCACAAGAGCACTGGTCACATTAGAGTGGGACCCACCCTGGGTCCTCATTGTAACCAGATCCCATTGGTTAAGACTGTTTCCAAATAAGGTCACATTGTGAGGTACTGGGAGTTAGGACTTTAATGTATCCATTTAGAGACTGCACAGCTCACCCCAGTAGTAGAGTAAACATTTCGTGGATCAGATTTATTTGAGCACAAATTGCTCTTGTGATAAATTCCTCCCCTTGTACTGTGGTCTGGATTCTTCGTCCTGTTGATGCCAAGAGACTAGCTCATTAAAACCATGTCATGTGCATCACAAGCTTTTGTTTGTGCGGGGTGTTTATTCAACAAGTGCTTCTTCTCACACACATCTAAATAAAACAAGCCCACTTTTACGAGGGTGTTCCTTTTAGGGTCTTTGTACTTGCGCATGCCATCTTTAGCTCTCTGAAATTCTTTAGGAAATTTACATTTTAAAACTGTTACACTACTAGTCCATTTCCAGATCTTACATGTATATAGTGTTTCTTCTATACACATTGCCTTAGTAAAAGTAGCTGACATCAAAGTGTCTGAAGAGCCTACTTTTTTTTTTTTGTCTTTTTGAGACACGGTCTCGCTATGCAGTCCCTGCTGGCCTTGAGCTCACTTTGTAGCCCAGGCTGGTCTCGAACTTGCAACTATCCTCCTGCCTCAGCCTCCCCAGTGCTGGGATCACAGGCATGCGCCACCACGCCCGGCTACTTTGCTTTGTTGTGCTTTTGTTGTTGTTGTTTTTCTTTGTTGTTTTATGTGGCACTGGGGATTGAACCCAGGGCCTTCACACTGAGCTACATCCCCGTCCCTTTTTTCCTCTATTTCTACTTTTGAGACAGGGTCTTGCTAAGTTGCTCAGGCTGCCCTCAAACCCAGGACCCTCCTACCTCAGCTCCCAAAATGCAGGGGTTACAAGCACATGCCACCTTGCCTGGCTTTTTATGTACGTTTGCATTTGGACTTTACTTAATGGCACTGACTTACGATATTTATTTCTTGGACATTTGAGTATGACTATCCTGCAGTGAATGAAATTTTGAGTACTACTTTTATAAAATAGACTTACATTTTCCCCCCAGTGGTGAGCATCTATAGACAGTATAGTATAACTGGTTGAGGGGAGAAAGAAAGGTCATAATCAAAATTTTTCTTTCTAAAGCTTTTTCTTTTCTTTTTTTTTTTTTTGAGAACTATGTATGATTAGTTAAGGCATTTATGGCTACAGGTGACAAAAATCCAAGTCAAATTCTCATAAGGGGTGGGGAATAAAAAGGAAAGTGTAGGCCCATGTAAAGGAAACATCCGGGGTTCCACTAGTTTAAGGCATGTTAAGGCATGGTTTGATCCAGGTACTCAAAACAAATGGCATGGTCTCCAGCTCTCCTCACCTGGCAGCTGAGCTTTCATCTACGTTGGGGAGCGCGCCCCTCCGCGTGGCAAGATGGTGCCCAGTGACGTGAACGAGACTTCCACTCTACAGGCTTGGCAGCCCAGCTCTTCGTGACATTTTTTCCCACGGTGTTAGCCTTCAAATACTTCATTTCTAGGACTTCCATTTTATTTAGTCTGAACATCTGTTAACCTTTGTTATTCATTTTTTTTCTTTTCTGTTAAGTTTATCATACAGTTCAACAATAGACTCCGAGCAGACCTAACTTCAAAGTGATTACATCAGGATTCAGGCCCAGGAGCCTAGCTTCAAAGTCACATTCTTAACCACTGACCGCAGCTCACCTGTGGTCGCTTGAGTGGGAGGAGAGTCACGTGTGAGGCTCCAAGGGGAGGTGGTGACTGTCCCTTATCTTAGTGGCTTTATCCATAAAATGAGTGGTGTGGAATTCGTAAGATAGTGCAGTTCAGCAAGGAAATCAGAAGGTCCAGGTTCCATTCCTAACACTGTGTGACCTTGAATTAGTCACTTCAACTCTGTGTTTGTCTTCCTCAGCTGTGCTGGGCAGGGCTTGGGTGGGGCAGGGGTGGGGGCCCACCAGGCGCCGCACACCCCCTTCAGGCCACACGCACCCCTGCCCCATGGCCTAAAGCTTATTTCTGTGGCAGTGGTCCCGGAGGTGGAGCAGACACGCCCCCTAGTCCTCTATAACCTTCACCTTCTCTGTACACTTAGACGCCTTTCTTTGTGTGTGTATGGGGAATCGATCTCTGTACACTTGGAAAAGTAGGCATTTCCAGTCATCCCATTGAAGCCAAGTTGCAGTGTGGGACTTGGCTGATCCGGGACTGCCCCTTCTCAGCCCAAAACCAGGGTAGGAGCTTATACAACTGGTAATTGTTGACCTAAGCTTTCCCATTTGATGTGGAGAGAAACCAGGGGCCAGGGCGGAAGGGAGCCGAACCAGCGCAGCACACCCTGGTCCTGCTTGGGAGCTGTGTCTGTCTGGCTTCCAGTGTGTGTCTTTCAGGGCCCAGCGAGTCAATGGGGTCTTTATCTCCCCAAGTGGGCTAGGTCAGGACACTACCACAGAGAAAAACAGTTGCTTGAATCCCAGATTATTTAACAGTCAAAGGCTTTTTCATAAAAATAATCCTGCAGGAAAGAGAGACTTGTGTGATATCAGGCAGCCCAAGTGTCTTCCTGCCAAGCCCTTTGCTCTGGATGAACATGTCAGATCACAGAGGTCGGTGTCTGCCCGCAGAGGAGGGGCCCTGACGGTATTTCTGAAAGAGCAAACGGAGCCCAGAGCTGGCCGAGGGTAGAACTACTTGTTTCCTTTTACATCCGTTGCTTCCTTCTACTCCTGCTTTATACAGGAAGAGAATTGTTTGGTTTCGGACAGATGTGTGTAAGCAGCCCAAATATTGGCACCGTAACAACTGATGGATTGTCAGTACCCGCTGCTGCTTTGTGGAGGGCATAGATGGAGCCTGGCTTTGGAACAGGGCTGACTCTCTTGTCTGATCCGCACTGGGGCCCCGCCAGCATCCACGGGGGCATGATATGTGCCATGGAAGCCCAGAGGCAAAGTAGGAACTGGATTCGAGGACTGTGTATAAAATTCAGTGATGAAATGAGCCCTTCTTGTCCTCCTGCAGAGCTCCCAATGCTGTGGTTGCTGCTCAGTGTCACTGGTGCAGTGTCGCTTGGTCTGAAGGGTAACGTGCTGCTTTCTTCTCCCACAGGGGATGGCATGAATGCCTACGTGGCCTACAAAGTTACAACGCAGGTGAGTCCCAGTGACCCTGCCCATGTCCACCTCAGCAGACCCGACTGCTCCCACCAACAAGGCTGCCCGAGTCATTCGCAGTATTTTTGGGGGTCTTTTGGCTTCTTTGCCAAGATTTTCCTTCACGTTTACTCAAGATGTAGCGAGCCTACATCCCCTCGGTAGTCTTATCTGGGTGCTCTAGACTGAGCCTTTCCAGTATTCTTACAGACAGCAACGCTACTGGAGCTTGAACCTAAGATGTTTCCATTGAACTGCATCTCTGGCCCTTTAAAAAAAAATACACATCTATATATTTCTTTAATTTTGAAATTGGGTGTCCCTAGATCGCTGTGTTGCCCAGGCTGGGCTCACACTTCTCATCCTCATGTCTCAGCCTCCCAGAGTGCTGTGATTACAGGCATGTGCCACCATGATTGGCTGTAAGTTATTAAGACATAGAGTATATCTGATTTTTGCCTCGTCCCTATTAATAACTATGTACCTTAGAGCTACTTTGGTGGATTGCCTTAAACTAAGAGTAATTGCCTACTTAAAAATCTTCAGTTCTGGGGCTGGGGATTTAGCTCAGCAGCAAAGCGCCTGCCTGGCAAGCGCAAGGCCGTGAGTTCGGTTCCCAGTACCGGAGAAAAACCAAACCAAAAAAAAAAAATCTTCAGTTCTTTCAAAGTTTCATATACACACCTTCTTTTAATGTTTACTTTAACCTTTTGTCCCTCAAATCTGTTCTTTTTAATTTTATCTCTGTGTGTGTGTGTGTGTGTGTGTGTGTGTGTGTGTTTGAGACAGGGTCTTACTATGCAATTCAGGCTGGACTTGAGCTCACTTTGTAGCCCAGTCTGGCCTCAAACTCACAGAGATCCTCCTGCCTCAGCCTCCCCAGTGCTGGGATTACAGGCATGTGCTACCATGCCCGGCAAATCCGGTCTTTTAAAATACAGTTTTATTGTGTACAAAACTTAAAACAATGTAGCTGGATTAGTGGTGCATGGCCTGTAATATCGGTACTTGGGAAGCTGAATCAGGAAAGTCACTTGAGCCTAGGAATTTGTGACCAGCCTGGGCAAAAGAGTGAGATCCTATGTCAGAAACAAAACAAAAACAAAGGCAGGCATGGTGGTGCATGCTTATATCCCCGTACCCTAGGAGGCTGAGGCAGGTGAATCTCAACCTTGACCCCAGCCTGGGCAACTTATTTTGAAACCATTTCAAAAAGAATAAAAGAGCTGGGTGTGTAAGCATTAAAGCCCTGGATTCAATCCCCAGTACTGCAAAAAACAAAACCAAGAAACTGTATACTGTTACATGCCACTGATGAAGTATAATAAAACGAAGTCCTGATCAAACCACCAGTACTGAGAAGAGTACCACTGTCTCCGGCCTTCATGTCTCTGTTGTAGGCCGGGCTTCGTCTTACAGTGGCCACTCTGCTCAGCTCTCTCATTTCCCTCATAAAGTGTCTTTATGTGTGAATCTCTGAATAACGTACTGTTTTGCTTTGTTTTCGAGTTTCCTGAAGATAGTATCGTGCTGAAAATAGTGATCTCTTAGCGTTGTCTCTCAGGCCTGCCCTTACTGGGCACAGCTGCGGTTAGTCCGTCCTGTGGACACACTGCAGCGTATCCCGCTTTCCTGCTGTGAGACGTCCTTCCAGCTGTAATAGGGAACTACACCCTGGCCCGCACGTCTCCAGTGCACCCACGGAAGAGATTCCCTGGGGCATATAACTGAAGTCCTTCCTCTGGGCCGGGAGCGCTGCAGATGGTGAACACAAGGAATGTAAACTATTTCCTAAAGACTTTGTACCATCTTATACTCCCATCGCCGGTCTATAAAAGTTCCCACTGATGCGGGTCCTTGCCAGTAACTGGCAGGCCAGCCCCTTACACTCTGCCTCTCTGTTGAGTGTAAAGTAGTCTCTTCTTGTGGTATAGGCTTAGCCTTTTTACTAGTCTCTGTATTGTCTTCTTGCTGCTACAGTGGTACCTCGGTTTATGAACTTAATCTGCTGTATGATTTTGGGGAAGATGGTGGTGGTTGTGTTTGTCACCTGATGGTGGAGTTTGTGAATGGAAGCGACATTTTGCCAAATGCTTTTGTTTGCAAACCGAATTGTTTGCAGAGAGAAATATTCATGAGCCGTGATGTTTCCTATGTTTCCTGTGCTTGTTAGCCTGCTCCCGTGAGCGCCAGATCTCATGACACTGGGGAGGTTGGGGTCTGCAGCTTAGAGACTGCATCTGATTCCTCCCTTCCCTTGTGGACGCCACTCAGCACTCTCGTCTCTTATCTTCAGATTGTAGGCTTTACTTCCAGCAGCTCAGACCTTTAAGTTAGTAAAGGCTGAAGTCCAGGTGACCACAGAATTCTGCCTTTAAGCTAATTCAACATTTGTGTCTTTGGAGCAAGTGTGCTTCACCTGGAAGGAGACTGTTTGAGTTCAGTTGGTGTCCTGTGTGTATGAGTGCGCGCACGGCACAGAGCTGCATCCCAAGTCCTTTTTATTATTTTGAGACAGGGTCTAGCTGAGTCACTAAGTTGTCCAGATGGGGCTTGAATTTGTGATCCTCCTGCTTCCAGTCTTGGGATTACAAGCATGTGCCACATGCTAGCTTAATTGATTGTCTTCATAATCCTATAGATTTTATTTTATGTCTTTATATTTATTTTTCTGAGTAGGACTTCTGAGACTCACGGAGTACTAATAGGGGGTTCGGCTCTAGAGTGTAAGAGTCTCTTCCCTGGAGAAAGAAGGTGATTTGCTAGGTGGCCAAAGGGCAGGGATCTGGGAAATAGAGCCCTTCAGTGTCAGCTGGATGGCTTTCAAGGTACCCATTCATCCCCATATTTGGAGTGAAATCGCCTTGTGTTTTTTCTATCCCCAAGACGACCTTACCAATGTTCAGAAGTAAACAGTTTGCAGTGAAAAGAAGATTCAGTGACTTTCTGGGTCTTTATGAGAAGCTCTCCGAGAAGCACTCTCAGAACGGCTTCATTGTCCCTCCTCCACCCGAGAAGAGCCTCATAGGTGAGTAAGTCAGGCCTGCAGCTCCGTGGCGTCTCGCTTTGTGTTCTTTCTACATACACTCACTGCTTTAGTGCAGTGAGGACTCTCGTGTCAGCGCAGAGGCGTATCCAGCATGCTTTCTACTTTAAGGTCTAGAGAAATAGCGTATTCTACACATTCTCTTCCCTTAGGTGCATAGTGGGCTGTAGTTTTAGCTACCAGGTTTTGTTCGTGTTAAATGACTGCTGTTCTCTCCATGCTGAAATGTGCCAGACTGAGTTGGGGGTCAGGAGAGGAACCCCCTCCGTCATCAGCTGATTGTTAATCTATATTCAGAGTCCAGTGGCATTTTTTTAAAAAAAGAAAATGTACACAGCTCAGGCGTGCCTGTGAGCCGGAAGTGGCCTTGGGCCATCTGTAGTCCTCTCCTTGTTGCCTTTTCTCCCGGTAACGCTTTAAAATAGATTTCTCCTTTTCATGATTTCTGCTTATTTTACTTCTTAAATTCCATTCTAGGAATGACAAAAGTGAAAGTTGGGAAAGAAGATTCTTCTTCTGCAGAATTTCTTGAAAAACGGAGGGCTGCTCTAGAAAGGTAGGTGATGCACAGCCACGTTTTTGAGTAACTTGAGAACAAGAAGCTGCAAGTGAGACTTAATTATGAGATGTTAGAGCCGGGCGTGGCGCACGCCTGTAACCCCAGTACGCAGAGAGGCTGAGGCAGGAGGATCATTGCGAGTTTGAGGCCAGTCTGGGCTACAAAGTGAATTCAAGACCAGCCTGAACTGCATAGTGAGACCCTGTCTCAAAAAGACAAAGAGAGAGAGAGAGATGTTAGCTTCAGCTACTAGAGGTGATACCTGTGACTTAAAGGGCCACACCTGCACATTATCTGTAATAACTTTCCTTAGTCTCTTATCTTTCTACCTTAGTAATGGACCATCTTTTCTTTCCCCATCCTCTGAGCTGACAGTCACATTCTCGAATAGTCCAATATGAATGGCTCTGAAGTTTCTTTCTTTCTGTCTTTCTTTCTTTCTTTTTCTTTCATTCATTCATTCACTCATTCATTCATTTTTATTTATTTTGGAGGAGGCTGGGATTGAACCTAGCTGCCCTACCACTGAGCTACATCTCCAGGCCTCTCCATCCCACCCCACTCTACCACTGCCTTTTTAAAAAAACTTTTGAGACAGGTCTAAATTCCTCAGTGTAGCCTCAAACTTGGGCTCCTCTTGCCTCAGCCTCATAAGTAGCGGAATTATAGGTGTAATCTGTATACATGCCTGACATGAAGTCTGTCCATTTTAGTGGGTGTGTGTGTGTGTGTGTGTGTGTGTGTGTGTGTTGTTTGTTTGATTGAGACATGTTCTCACATAGCTCAGGCTAGCCCCAAACTCACTATGTAGCCAAGGGTAGCCTTAAACTTGTGAGTCTCCTGCTCATCCTTCTGAGTGCTGGGATTAAAAGAGTGTGCCGCCATGCCTGGCCTTCACCAGTTATTTTGCCCTTCCTTTTTGTGAAAAGAACATGAATTTGAGTGTACTTGAAAGCAGAGTCCTACTTTACAAGCACAGTCCTACATAAATACCGTACCTGACGACCTTTTCAGTAGTAAAAATTACAGTGCCCCGCCAGCACTGGGCAACACCCAGAACCTTGAGAGGCCAGATCAGCTAACCAGATAACTGTTTACCCTTCAGGTATCTTCAGAGGGTTGTGAACCACCCTACCATGTTACAGGACCCTGATGTCAGGGAGTTTTTGGAAAAAGAAGAGGTATTGTATAAAACTGAATTTCATAATTTATATCTAACCCTAATGAGACTAGTTCCTTCAACAGATGTTTATTTGAGCACCTAACATACAGTTGCAAGCTACATCCTAGTTTTATGTGAGCCCCCAAGAATGGCACATAGTTTTCAGCCTTTGAAGTAAAAGCTGTGCCTGGAGTCAAAGCAACTAGTTGTAGAGGTCTACCAAGCTCACTTGATCTTCCTGGATGACAGTGTTCTGTTTAGCAGGTCTTCCGCATGTCTTTTTTGGGTTACTGCTTGGCTCAGATTGAAAAAGTATTTTGTGCCAGGAGCTGAGGGGTATTGGTTAAAAAACAGTTACCCGGCCCACAGAGCGGCCCTGTGGCAGAAGTGCTGGTGTTTGTTCCAGGCCGTGCGCGGGCTATTCATGACTGTGAGACACCGGGGATAGCCCCGCTGCTGACAGCTGCAGAACTAAATAAAATACATCAAACAGCAAGCACTGCCTTCTCATAAGTAGAAGATGCACAGCAATATTAGTATATGGGAGCGTCTGTTAAAGGGATCACAAAAAGGGAAGCATGAAATAGCTTATAAATATCGCTGAAGAAGAAATACTAGAATAAAACAGTATTTTATCCCAGAAAACGAGGAGGGAGCAAGTGACAGGGTAAGACTGTTATTTTAATTTAAAAATTTATATTAAGTGTTTGGGATTTTTCTTTTCCAAGATGGATTTAAGTACACTGTCCCTGTCAGGTGCTTTAGATCTTTTAATTCTTGCTCTGGGTGCTCCTGAGTGCTTGCTTGCTTTTCGCTGCCGCGCTCCTCCTCCCTACCCCTAGAGCAGGCTTTGTCCGCCATGACGCTCTGGGTGGGGCGTCCTGTGATGGTAGCAAGTTTGAGCACCATCCCTGGCCTGGACACTGTCCATGTCAGTAGCCCCCACTTCCTAGCTGCAACAACCCAGATCATCTCCCGACACTGCCAGGTGTCCCCTGGAGGGGAAGGGGTCCCGACTTGAAAATCACTTTTGTAAAGTCCAGAGAACTAAAATCTAACTTTTTAGTGTAAATAAATGATGCTCCTGTCCTTGGACACCTTTCCCTGAGGAAACCTCAGTGGGATCTAACAGAACTTCAGAGTCTCTCAGAGCTTTCAGTCCAGCTGTGTGCACAGTATGCTAAGCAAAGGCCCTGGTGACTTAACAAAAGTATGCGTGGTATTTAAGCAGTCATGCCTGGGTGGGCAAACTGTGAGGTCACCTCCCACATAACACACCCAGTCTGCTTTCTACAAATAGTACCAAAAACTGAAAGTCTTGCTGGCTCCTTCTAGCATGGCTCTTTTTGTTTGTACATACTAGTTTTAGATTGATGTAACTGCCTAAGATTACAACCATCTACCTACAGTTCAGATATTTGTTCGGCAAGTTTTGGGCATGTCTTCTGATGGATACTAATTCTTCTGAACCTAAAATAGGGGCAGCAGATAACTTGCCATCCCCGCCTTCTTGGTCTTGTAGCTGCCACGCGCCGTGGGCACCCAGACCTTGAGTGGTGCTGGTCTCCTCAAGATGTTCAACAAAGCCACAGATGCGGTCAGCAAAATGACCATCAAGATGAATGAGTCCGACATTGTGAGTAGCGCTGTGACTCTGGGTCGCCTCCGCCCATACGCTGAGTCAGAAGTCCTGAGTGACAGAGACTTTTCAATTAAAAACAAAATTCAGGGGCTGGGGATTTAGCTCAGTGGCAAAGCGCTTGCCTGGCAAGCGCAAGGTCGTGAGTTCGGTTCCTGGTACCAGAGAAAAACCAAAAAAAAAAAAATTCATTTCCTTTCAGAGAAAACGCAGTAGCAACAGACCCTGCTAGGGAAAGACTGCTTTGTTGTAACCGCTGCTGTTCTGGGCTTGTGTTTCAGTGGTTTGAGGAGAAGCTCCAGGAGGTAGAGTGTGAGGAGCAGCGTCTACGGAAACTACACGCTGTAGTGGAGACACTAGTCAACCACAGGAAAGGTAACCCCTCTCAGATGCCCTGCGGCCCGGGGGAATTGTCTCCATGCTTTTCCCAAGCCTCTGAGCCATCCAAGTTGAAATTCTCAGCCCACCATGTCCTTGGTGTTCTGATCTTAAAAGAAGATAAGCTACCTGGGCCCTGGGCTTTCTACTGGGAGGGAGGCCGGGAAGCTGTCCCAGATACATATTGACTCTTGATGAGGGCTTCTGATAAGTTTAGAGTTCATGGCTTGCATCCAAAAACAATGTCAACGTGTGCCTTAGCTACATGGTCATACCAGCAGTGTAAATGTAGGGAAGCCATACATGTCTCCTAAACCTTCATGTTTCTTTGGTAAGCTCTGCTGAAGAGGTGTTCCACTTTTCCAAATTTGAAAGCTTTCCTTCTCTGCCTTAAGTATACTGATAGCTAGAAATCTACAGCTGGGTGTGGTGGCACACACCTGTAATTGGGAGGCTGAGGCAGGATGATCCCTGAGTTCAGCCTGGGCTACGTAGTGAGTTCAAGACCAGCCTGGACAACACAGTGGGACTCTGTCTGAAAAAAAAACAAAAAGAAAATAAAAAAGTCTGACTGGGCGTGGTGGTACACGCCTGTCATCCCAGCACTCGGGAAGCTGAGGCAGGAGGATTGTTGCGAGTTCAAGACCAGCCTGGGGTTGTGAGTTCAAGGCCAGCCTGAACTGCAGAGTGAGACCCTGTCTCAAAAAAGACAAAAAAAAAAAAAAGTCTGAAAGATAGACCTTTAACATGAGGCCTTTAGCAGCTGGCAAACCAACCAGGCCCACAGGCTAAGAATGGTTTTCACATTTTTAAAGGGAGGCATGAAGAGACAAACAGATAAGCAGCAGAGGTGATGTGTGATCTGCATTAACTGTGGCCCTTCCTAGAAAAAGTTCACCTTGCTCTAGCACATTCAAGATAGGCTGCAATTCATAAGCTTTAACGTAAAAATAAGAATGATTTCTTTGGCCTTTTCATATTAATTGGCCGTTGCTTCTCCAGGGACGGTGGGGCTGCCTCCTTGGAGCAGACCTAACCCAGTGAGTCAGGCCAGGAGGTGCCTCCCGCTCGTCCTCTGCCCAGACCCCCTCCGCGCACCTGGCCCTCACCGCGTGACGTGCAGGGCGCGGCGCTGTGAAGGCGCGCTGTGCACGGCCGGCTCGTTCCTTTTCCTCGTGAGGCCACTCTGTGTCTTTTCCTCCTTCCAGAGCTAGCGCTGAACACAGCACAGTTTGCAAAGAGTCTGGCCATGCTCGGGAGCTCCGAGGACAACACGGCGTTGTCACGGGCACTCTCCCAGCTGGCTGAGGTGGAAGAAAAAATTGAGCAGCTCCACCAGGAACAGGCCAGCAGTGACTTCTTCCTGCTTGCTGAGCTCCTGAGCGACTACATTCGCCTCCTGGCCATAGTCCGAGTAAGCTTCAGACTCCTTTCCTTCTCCCCCTCCCCTCGGTGGGCTTGGTCTTTGCTGTGCTCTTCCCCTTCCCAAGAAAGCGTCGCCTCACTGCAGCTTGTAAGTAGCACAGCCTTAAGAGTGAAAGCACCCCACGGCCGAGTCCATCTGTTCGCTAGCGTCTCCGAAGTACTTGGAGACCCACAGCCAGTTTCCCAGATGCGTTTGGAGATGAGACTACCCCTGACTCCAGGCACCTGTGTATGATGGAAGCTGCACAGCGTCCCCGGTGATGGACAAGAGCACTCGCTGGCGCCTGCTTGTCCCTCCAGTACGGGCAGTCATGGAACCCCACAGCACCCGCTTGGTGGCCGTGCATGGCGGAGTGAGGCCCAGGCCTGGAACGCTTGCCGCCAGAACCCTCCTGGGCTGTGCTGAACACCAGTCAGACACCTCACCTTCTGGCCTGGCGACCCGGGCAGTCTCGCTTCCCGTGAGCTCTCGGAGCAGTTAAGAAAGCTTGATAGGCACTGGAATTAGCTCTCCTATGGTCTCCCCGAGAAGGAGGGAAAAACCGGCAGCGAGCCTGGTGCCTGCCCTGTAAGGGCTCCCACCTGCACCTGATAGCTTAGGACCAGGATTTGGGAGCTGTCAGAGCAGTGCCACTCTCGTCCCCGTCACGGACAGGTCTCTCAGCAGGGAGCTTCTGTGTTGTGTCAGGAGCTGGGCTGCTCAGCGTCCACTCCTCTCCTTTTGCTTCTGGTTCCTGCTGACTCCACAGGGATCAGAGGCTTGACAAGTACCCTGCCATGGAGTTGTCAGAACTGGTCAGACTGCACAGACTGGAGAGCCAGCCCGGGAGGGGCCCTGGCTAGCGAGACCTGCTCTGGGAGCACCACTCTGGGACATGACCCTGGCGGCTTGGGCCTATATGTGCAGGGGTGCGAGGAGGCCAGCCCGGAGCTCCGGGGGCCGGGGCTGGGACACGGGCCTTAGACCTCAGAACTGGGTCCTGCCTTTGAGGCCCACAGAGGCAGTGTGGAGTGGGAGCTGGTTTAGTTAGAGCAGCAACTACCCTTCTCTAGAAATGCTGATCGTGAGAAGGACTGGAAACCAAGAAAACCAGCAAGTAGACTGTGGGGAGCTTCCTAGGGGCCTTGACAGTGTAGAGCAGATAAATGTGCGCTTGCAACAAAGGCAGTTTATCCCGTCGTGGCTGTGTTTATTGAAAGAATCTTTTGGCAACCCTGGAGCCCTTTGGGCGTCAGGTGAAAGGCTGCTTCCCTGCATTAGACTTCTGGACATAGCTCCCGGGCTGGGCTAGGGCCCTAGCTGTCTGGTGCAGGGCTGTGCCTGCTCTCCCTCTGCTCTGCATACCCGCTTGTAAGCGCTGATACAGTGAGGGCCTTTTCTGTTCTGTGTAATCCGTTACATGACGAGCTCCACAAAGCGGGACCGTGGGTTTCACCCCGCTGGATTGTTACCTCCTGGCGTGTTGCAAGTACTCAGGCAAAGCACAGGGACTCACAGACCGGCTTTCTGAGAGCCATGGCATCGGGCACTGGCACCAGGGCTGCCTCCTGTGCTCCCAGCCATGGCACTGGCTCATTGGAGGCGGTGGAGAGGCTCTCACCCGGGCTTGTGCTTCTAGACGGTGAACCTCCCAGCCCGGCACAAACACAGGGCTGCGGAGCCTGCCCTTGCTCCGCCCCTTTCCGGCCTAGCTCCTGGGCAGCCCCTACCCACACACCCCCAGAGCCCCAGGCCCCTGAGGAACTGTTGTCCTCCCAACTCCTCCCACAGGCTGCCTTCGACCAGCGAATGAAGATGTGGCAGCGCTGGCAGGACGCTCAGGCCATGCTGCAGAAGAAACGGGAAGCTGAGGCTCGGTTGCTGTGGGCCAACAAGCCTGACAGGCTGCAGCAGGCCAAGGACGAGATCACAGAGGTAACACCCGTCGGCTGCTGCGCCGGTCCTGACCGAGCCCTGCTCCCCGCTCCTCCTGTTTGGAGCACACAGCAGGAAAGACAGCTGATCGAGGTTCCAGAGCTGGGTGATGGCAGGCCTGGTCTTCCTCCTCTCTTCTCACCCCACCCAAGTCCGAATCTCAGCAGTGGTCACGGAGGGCCCCCTGGGGGATTCAGATAGATCGGCCCCCCGTCGAGGAGAAACTGGTTCTCTGGGGCTCCCAGCACTGCTGGTCTCTGAACTGGACGCTACTGAAATATCAGAGGTCTTGGGGAGACTAGGCTTATGCTTTCCAGCCAGCCAGAAAGGTGGCCTGCTGGACTCAGGCCTGCGTGTGGGGCTGACGCACTTAACCCTCCCCAGAGGGACAGACGGATGCAGTGATCAGTTTGGGTCTTCGGAGAGCTGTTACCCACATGTGAAGGCCTAGTGACAGTGCCCCTTGTACTGTGTGATTTTCTCTCCTCTTCCCAGTGGGAGTCTCGCGTGACTCAGTACGAAAGGGACTTCGAAAGGATTTCCACAGTGGTGCGGAAAGAAGTGCTACGATTTGAGGTGAGATAGAAGATCCTGACTCTGATTTAGCGTGCAGGCCTCACGCAGGTCTCACGCACGGGCGCGGCCTGTGTATGTGTGCATGCGCACGTGTGTGTCTGCACAACTTCCTCAGGCTCTGCTGGACCAGAGCAGGGAGACAAAACGAAGTTTGTAGCTGCCGTGCACCCGCCGGGCCCCCAGCCTATTCCCTCCTCTACCCCAGCCGTGCCCGCCCCCAGAGAGCCTTCCAGTGCTTTGGCAGCGGCCAGCTGGGCGTTGTAGCGACTCCAGCTGCCGGCTCGACTTTCGGAGGCTGCGTTTGGCCTCAGTCAGCAGTGGCCTGCACCATCCCAGCAAGAGGGGAGGGAGCAACTGTCGGGGTGGTCAGTGCAGAACCCTGTCTCCTGCAGAAAGAGAAATCCAAGGACTTCAGAAACCACGTGATCAAGTACCTTGAGACACTCCTGTATTCACAGCAGCAGGTACGTAAGTTCTGTGTGATCTTCATCCCTCCCTTCTTCCAAAGGTGGTGCCTACCTGGGGTTTCGGTGAAAAGACGGGCAGGTGCTGCTCTGAGGGAGGAGAGGCCCTGCTGTCATCAGCTGTTGAGAGGACCCCCGCTGCTCCCGCGTAGTGAATGTGTCAGGGCCTTCCTGCTGCCCTGGTTCCATGGTGAACGGTGGTGTGTAAGGATGAACTCTCTCCTCTTGTCTCCCTGTAAATGAACGCCTTCCCGCGGAGTGGCCACCGTGGTACTACCTAGCCCCCCGGAGGCGGAGCCCCCAGTCAGCGTTAGAGCAGTGCCCCATTGTGAGGAGCCACCTCAGCTGGACAAAGCTGTGGCCTTCCTCCGGCGCTCCCTCTGGGGCGGGGCCAAGATCGTCTTCCGAGACCGCCCTTGCACGTGGGACTCAGCAACCCGTGCTACTCCGAAGTGTGGGGCGTGGGGGCACCTGCTGGGCGTCTGAGGGGCTCGGGGACTGCCATGGCCTTGTGCTTGCTTCGCGCCCAGGCTCTGCCACTAGATGGGGGCACTTGCTTACTGTCCCCCCACCTCTTTGCAGCTGGCAAAGTACTGGGAAGCCTTCCTTCCTGAGGCAAAGGCCATCTCCTAACGGACCAAGGATCCAGAGCCCACCTGCGTGACGCTGCCTTTTTATACACTGTCCTCCGCCCCTCGGTGCACCTCAGTGACGCATCCTGCCTAGGCTGGACTCGGCCCCTTCCTCCCGCCCCGTGACCAAGCTGCTCCCACTCTAACCAGTACTTCACTTAGCCTCATATATATTTTCTTACCTAAGAGAATAGTTTCCTGCTTTAAGCAAAAGACCTACAATAGGTGGTGGAATTATGGGGTAGGGGTGGAGTGTTGGTATAAATATATAAATACAAATGTATATTTTTCAGGATGTGGTTTAGGAACTGGGAATAACGTTTTCTGTTACTCCTGATGGTGCCATGAGAAGATTGTGTAATAAAATACTTTAAAATCAGGTTACGTGACTCAGCATGGTGGTGCTTTTTGCTTTAGGCCGGGGAGCAGCTGGGAAGCAGATGTGGATACACCTAACCGCATGTTGCCCAGGTGTAGTAAGTTTCTCTAAGGAGCGCGCAGGTTTTTGCTGCTGCTTCCCCGCAGCGCTGGGGTTTCTTGCTCTCAGCTGCCTGTTCTGAGGGTCTCTTAATCCGCTTACTTCTTATTCCTACTTCCTTAGGGAAAGAATTTAAAGACATCTCTTATATTAAGAGAGGCAAAACCTATTCCACAAAAGCAGCTGACTTTCTTGTTCCTATCCTACTTCCCCTAAGCTGCTCAGGGCTGAGTCCTGCCTTCTGGTGTTAAATCTTACGTTCTAACCCTTTTTGGTGTCACTCTTCAAAACATAGCCTCTGGAGCTAGGAGTGTAGCTCAGTGGTGGAGCACATTAGCATGCTGGGTCCAATCCTCAGCACCGAAACAGCACCAAAACCCCAACACATCCTTAACAGGATGTTCTTGTTAAGGAGTAAAGGAGTAAAGACTTCCTGCTTTATCCTGACAGGTGCAGGCCCGCTGTCTCTAGATGGGGTAACTTGAGAGCCTCTTCAGCCTGTGGAGGTTCACAGCAGCTTTACTGTCTCATGCCAGCAAGAGCCCCCAAGAGGGGAAAGCACAGGGCAAGGGCATCCAAGTGGTCCCTGCCGGGCTGGCCGGCACCAGTCTCAGTCGTTGCTGTACCGTCCTCACTGTGTACTGGTCAGACCAGACCAGAAGCACTCTGTGCGGCAGAGCGGGTGAACCGCCTGCCGTGGGAATCTTGCCACCCCCAAAATGGCCCTGCACAGGACTCCAGGACGTGCTGTGTCAGTTCTCCGGGGTGAGCAGCTAAGGTCTGGGGAGGGGCAGGCAGCGGTGAGAGCAGCAGAAAGCCGTACTGACTCCCTCTGCTCAGACGCACGCCAGGGAGGGGCCGTTGCTGCAGGTGCTTCCGTTAGCAGGTTACTTTTTGGAAAAAGTTTCTCAGTCTGTCTCCCTACAGCCCGGTGTCCTCATTGTCACCTTCGATTTTATCTTTCCAGTCTTCTCTGTGCTTGCTTTTACACGGTTATAATATACATGTAAAACATTTTATATCTTTTTATCATTAATACTGTATATTTACAAGTGTCTTTCCTTTATATCCTTATATATCATCAAACTATCTGTAAGGATATAGAATTTGAAACCTTCTAGAGATTGACTGTACCATAATTTTGATGGATCCTATACTGTTGGAGTCTCAGTTTAGGGGGAGAAGATTTTAGAAACTCTTGGGGGGATAACTTTTTAATATGATTTCAAACTTACAGAAAAGTTTCAGGGCTCCTGTACGTCCTTTACCCAAATTTACCAACTGTTTATTGCGTTTGTTTTATGGTTTGCTTTATCTATAGTATCCACATGTATTCTCTGAATTATTTGAGTTAGTTGTACCCAGTTACACCCCCTCCCGCCAGAAACTTCAGTATTTCCTTAAGAACAAGGACATTCTCCTAGACTTTAAACACAGTTATCAAAACCAGTAAGTTTAACACTGATATAGTACTATTATCTAACCTGTGGTCCACATTCCAATTTGTGAGTTGTCCTCAAGGTCCTTTGTAGAAACTTTTTCTTTATGCAGGATCATGTGTCATCGCATTGAACTGTGATACATCGATTACTCTCACTCTTCTGTTTTGGGAACTGAACCGAGGGGCTTCCCACTGAGCTGTATCCCCAGGCCTTTTTTATTTTTGAGATAGGGTCTTGCTCATTACGGTGACATTTTTTAAAGACTACAGGCCAGTTTCTTTTTTTTAATTGTTCTCTAATTTGTACTTGTCTGATGGCTCATGTCTAGGTTGATGTTTTACATTCTGGACAGGAATGTCACAGATGTAAGTGCCGGATCCTCAGTGTAATCTGGGAGATACTTTCAGGTCATGTAAGTATTTTGTTCTAGCATGTGTGAACAAAATATTCTGTGTGCTGTTTAGCATCAGTTAACAGTTAGTGTTGTCTGAATCAGCTGTTGCTCTGACTGAGCAGTGTGCCCTCCACATTTAGTAGCTGGCTTTCTACATCCAAAAGAAGGCATCCTCCCTCCCCTTTTCCTTAACCACTTGTTTATCAGTATGGGTGCATGGACTCCTGTTGTACTTACTGCAAGACTTTGATTCTCAAAATGCCCTGTGTTTGTAATTGAGTACTTCCTGGTGTAACCAGATGCTCCTGGCATCTCATACCTTACCTGCCCTCGTCCTAGAATCAGCCGTATCTCCAGGGATCTTATTTCATTTTAATGGAGATGGGATTTAGAAGCAAAGATGTGGGAGCTGAGTGTGTGCTCACTGCCACTAGTCTCCATGGGCAGGGTGAGAAAATATATATAAATATCTAGAAGTGTTGAGGGAGGTAGAGGGGTGACATGAGTGGAAATTCAGGGGGCTGGAGTGTGCAGCTCATTGGAGGGGGTTTGCCGAGCATGTGCACGGCCTTGGGTCTAATCCCAGCACCACCAAAGAAAGAAAGAATCAGCAGTGATGATTCTAGTCCAGCGCTATAGGCTACCTCTAGTTGACCTCTTTTCCTCTGTAACTTTCTACTTCAAAGAGGCTTTTACTGAGAAACATTTCTCCAGGCTTTAAGTTCTGTCTAAAACTCACCTTGAGGTGTCACTTTTTCTTCCCTTGGGACCAATGCCCCTCTGGTCTCAGAACTTCCTCCTGAGCCTTCTGTCCCAAAGCTGACAGGGCCACTGTCCTCAGAGCTTGCGAATGTCCTTTTTTTTTTTTTTTGAGACAGGCTCTCACTATGTGGTACAGGCTGGCCTTGAACTTGCTTATATAGCCCAGGCTGGCCTCAAACTCAAGGTGATCCTCCTGCCTCAGCCTCTGGAGTGCTGGAATTATAGGTCTGCGCCACTCTGCTTAGCTCAGCTTGTGAATTTCTGTGCACTGTCGTAGACGCGGACACCGAGGCTGGGTCAGAAACAAACCTCTAGCGGGAATGAGAGGGGCATAAGGAAGGATATGTCATTCTACTTGGGGACTCAGGAGGGAGAAACACGGAGAACATGGACTTTGAACTGTGCCCGAGAGGACTCAATAGACATTGTGGACATGGGACTGCAAGTGTGGGAAGCTACCGTGGGGAAAGCCAGGGCCCCTCTGTGATGTGGGCCTGTGAGGAGGGAGCCTCAGGCCCCCACAGTCCTCCAAGGGTGGAGGAGGGCAGTAATGAGGGAGCCGGAGCGCGGGAAGGGTGGGAGGGACAGAACCCCTGGGGCCCGCCCCTGGGTTGGTGAGAGGCCCGAGGGAGAGTCGGGCAGCCAGCGTGGGCCCCCATGCTGGCTGCAGTGTCAGGGTAGACAGTGAGGGGCATGGGTTACAGAGGCGGCCGGGCAGAGAACAGACGGCAGGGGAAGCAGGGAGGTCACTGAGGGGCCTCTGCATGGGGAAGGCGGCCGTGATTGGAGGTGGGAACAGACACGGGAGAAGGAAGCTCTGTTTTATTTAAAGGCGGGGCAGATTTAAGCCTGATAGGAGGACCAGAGGCAACGAAGGGAGCACCCACCAGAGCTGTCTGGGAGGAAATGCAGCCCAGGGCACAGCAGAGCCGCTCCTGCGCCTGGGAGCCTCAGGGGCGATAAGCCTGTAACCACCCCGCTGGGCTGTGTCCGAGAGGCTCAGGGCCCCACCTGAAGATGAGGACTGGAAGTTCACGGAACCCTCATACCCTACACACATTCAGGGGCCGGAAGTGAGAGAAAGAGACAAGACAGACGAAGTGCCGCACGCAGACACCAGTAACTGCGCTCGTCCCAGAAAGCTTCCACTCTGTGTGTGCTTGTAGCTGGGAACCGTAAGGAAAACAAAGGGTGTCTTTGCAGAGACTCAAAACTTAACAAGGGAGGGGCAGGGATATAGCTCATTGACACAAGCGCCTGCCTGGCGGGCGCAAGGTCCTGAGTTCGATTCCCGGTACCAAAAAAAAAAAAACAACAAGGGAGAATTGAAGGGTGGGCCAGGATCTGCTGGAGCAGAGTGGTGGTGGAAGACTTAGGGCCCACAGGGTGGAGCCCAGCTTGTGTGGGACAGGCAGCCGCAGGTGGCGGATCCTACCACCCCTGCAGGACTTGAAGCTGGGGTGGGGCGGGGGCAGGAGAGGGTGACGGCAACCCCTCCCTCACAGAAAGAGCACATCTTTGCTGCAGTTGGCACAGGCCTGAGCCATACACGGGAGACGGGGCTAAGATTCTCTACTCCATGTCCGGGCAGGGGAGGCCGGGGCTGAGGTGTAAATGCATGCCGCATATGTCACCTGCAGTGTCCATGATACCAGCGGTGTGGCCTGCTGCTGGTGTTCCCCACCAGAGTATCAACCTGTGAGCTCACGGGTCTCTAACTCCACGGCCACAGCAACAGCTGACTGGAATGACCGAGCGGTCGCAGGCTCTGCCCGCTGCCACTCACAGCCGCCTGTGGGAGGTGACAGCTCACCGTGCTGTTGCCTCGTCCTTCGTGATAGCCCTGCCACCTCGCGCAAGCAGCTTCTAAGTGTGTGCTGTCCTCCGCGCGTCTGCGTGGCGGCGGAGCCCTCGTTATGCTGGGCTTTCTTCCCGCAGCGCCCGTCTCAGTTCCTGCTGCCTCAGTCTCACAATGACAGCTGGCAGGACTGTGTTTGTGTTTGTGTTTGTTTTTTATTTTTACTTTTTGGTGCAGTGCTGGGGACCGAACCCAGGGCCTCATGCCTGAAAGAGGCATTTTTCAAGATTGTGGGTGGGGTTGTGTAAGTGCAGGAGACAGTGCGCATTTGCTGGTGTGTCAGACACTCGGTGAGGGTCCTCACATGCTTCCAGAAGTCAGTGAGAACCCAAGACGTTGTCAGGGGAAGGCACCGCACTGCCGAGGTCCAGAGGACAGGGCTGAGGGCTCATCTGTGTCGCTCTCTTGAGGGAGGCCTTCCAGAGACACACGTCTGACTTAGTCTTG